CATAATGGAATCATATCATGGAATCCACAGAATGGAATACAACACAGCACAGAGGACATGACAGCTCTGAATGTAGATTACATAGAGATCTGATGAAAAGGAAATAGATTTGTTCAGACAATGTGGCGGTGTCAGAAATAGTGACATAGCTTGTGTCTGGTGGCCCCTTTTGTGTGAAAAGATGCTTGGCTTGGCTGTTGTTTGGGAAATTATCATATTTTATATGAGAATAACTGGAATAAGTACTCAATCTTCTTTGTTCTCAGCTGGAACCTTAGCTCTGGTCCAGGGCATTAAGTGCAGCTTTCTGATGCTGAGCCTTCAGCAAGTTGGACCAGAGCTACTGGAAACTATGGTCAATTCTGGCCACTTCCAGAACTTGAGAAAATCAAAATCAGGTCATTATGTACCACCCCCCAAAAAAAGCAATTTTGAAAGGCTTATTTGTCTTTATCTTGTCTGTACAGAAATTGCTGTATGTCTGTAAACAGGCCTGTCCAAAATAACCTCTCACACTATGGTGCAGTTCAGATGTAACTGTTTTCATTGTTGCCTTGACAGAAAGTAGTCGGAGCAGACATGCGCAGTACTGAGGCGTGTGGTGGCTGCCTTTTTTTCGGGACAGGGGAGAACGTTTCTGCCTATTAAGCACACTGACATTCTTTGTCTGAAGGACACTGGCCATCGTCCAAAAGCTGGGCGCCCAAGCCGTTTAATTTTAAACCATAAAGAAGTTCTTGGCACAAAAGCCCTTATGTGGGCTTTGTCACAATTAGATTAACCAGAAAGGGCAACAGAGCGGATAGAACAGGATCAGGCAGAAAGGTATTGCTGGGATAGTATGCTGTGTGACAAGTTCAACTGTGGAGGAATTAGCTGGACTTGACCCTACAGTGATGGAGTATGTCCAGGGGAGAGGACAAACTGCAGATTAATAGAGTCACACTACATCTAACAGTGGTAAAGGTGTTTGGCCCCCAAACCGTGGCGGCTTCAATTGCAGCTACCTACCGGTATCTCTCTCTCTCTCTCTCTCTCTCTCTCTCTCTCTCTGTGAGACCATTAGTATGCTCTTCTCACTTACAAGTGTATTTTGATGGCTTTTAGAGTGAGTTTCATATTAAAATGTCAACCATGTTTTCACAAAATGGCATCCATTGATGAGGAACATGGAATGTATCTGTTGATGGTTAAGAGCAAAGCAGCTTTGTTTGAGTTTGTGCCTGTCTATCAAAAAGATATTGAGTTGTATGGTGGGATGGAATTGAAGTCAGAGCAACAATATGTCAATCACTGTGGTCACTTTGCCCTTTTAAGATGTCCCTCGACCTGCCCAAACTGTGTCCCAAATGGCACCCTACTCCCTATATAGTGCACTACTTTTGACCAGACCCATAGGAGCACTACTACATAGGGTGCCATTTGGAACATAGCCTCAATCTTTATGCACAGTCACTGAGGCAGCAGCCAATATGAACCATTGTTTTACTGCTCTGGCTCCACCCTGGCAGTTACAGTTAAGTATGACCTCAGCACCTCTTTCCTCTTTCTAACCTCTGTCACACAGCGTGGTGCCAGACAGGCTGCAGAGGCTTACCTCCTTTCACAGAGTTGGCTGAGATGGTGGAGCTATGATTCACAAGATGTTTTCTCTCTCCAGTACGCCCTCCCGTCTGTCTCTCTCTCTCTGCATAACAACCAGGCCAGTTAGTCAGACCTTCCTCTGGGAATCATTAAATTAGCACAGACAAAAAAGCTTATCCAAATCTCACTGTAATGGGTCTGCGGCATTGTTGGATGATGTCTCTCGCTCTCATTTCCTGTGTAGCATAACCTCCTTCATCGTTAAAGTTGCACTCCAGTCTCCTTTTCACCTCATTTATCTCCTGATTTACTTAACAAAAGGTACATCTGTCCAGGTATCATGACATGGCACAAGTGGAGGGAGGCTTTCCTCTTCTGTTCTCTATTGCTCCTCTATTGTTCCCGCAAGCAAGGGGGGAGGCCGATGACATCAGAGGGCACCATCAGACCAACTCCTTGAATAGCCTACTCCTTGAAGTTTGCAGTTGTGTCTAAAAAACTACATTTTGCTCCAAACATATGTGTGTGTACATGACTGTATTTATACGTGGGATATTGTTTTTCAACAGGAAAAGTTTCAGAATAGCAGGAGTGCGTCTTTAATTGAGTAACATTTCTCTAGCTGGATTTCTAAACTTCCTCATCTCACTCTAAATAAAATATACATTTGCATATTATGTGATCATTTGACTTGTCTACCCCATCCCAAACCCAGTGTAAACAGAGTTGGATAGAGAACTACAGCCGTGGTCCTCAGTTATTCTCAGCTCCATCTATCTCTGCCTTGACCTCAATACACTTCCAGACTCTAAAGTAGAAAACTCTGCTGCACTATGCATGTTGTAACAGTATCTGCCACATCTGAAGACCGCCCCTAATTTAAATGATCCTACACACACCCAGTAGTACACTCTAGATGTTTTATAAGTATTTATTGTTTAGACATTGTATTTGTAGCCATGTTAGCAGTTTATTAAAGTGGTGATACGGTCTAACTTAAACTGAATGGCACTGAATAGGAATTAGAGATGACTGTAATAATGACTGTAATACTGATGAATGGATGAATAATGACGCTGTTGTTTTTATCTGACTTCCAGATTCTCTCTGGATCAGCCCCTGAGAGCTGTAGAATCCACCCAGGAAGATGCATGGCCTCAGGAGGGCCTCAGGAGGGCCTCAGGGGGAGCAGCTCTAGACAGCTCTGATTTCTGGTGGGGCGGGACAGCTGGTGTTGTGAATCAGGCCGCTATAGTGCCAGGCACGGCTTCTTCCCAACACCAGGGTCACACCCCACTGTCCGCAGCTCCCTCGCCGGCAGCAAGGCACAGTATCAGATCACAGGAGGACAGATCAAAATGCATGCCGAGACTGGTGGAGGATGAGTGTCTTTCAAAAACAGACTAGTCGAGGCTAATTAAAAATAAACTCATTATCTCACTGTGTGTCTGGGGCATAACAGGAGCATTTGAGCATGGGTCAGAAACATAACCACCATTGTTTAATTCTCAATTGTGATTAAAGTAGAGTTGTATTGTACTGACTTGACCTATGGCTGCTTCTGCATGTCTGCACGCTAGGACTATTATTCAACATCAATGAACTATCAGAGCATAAGACAGTAAAACTAGAGAGAGGACAGTGCCTCTCTAAACAAGTGTGATGGGAATAGCATTAATTTAATAATAAATCATAGTGGAATGTGTTACTGTTGATATAAAAGCATGACAAATGAAAGGCTGGGTGTATTCCATTGTCTGGGATGAAATTGAAAATGGATTTTGATGTTAGTCTCAGTCTTAGTATCGGTATGGTTTGGTGGCTTCACTGTGTGCTGCTTTTATTTCGTAATTAACTTATCAAAGGATTTTTTATTTTGTTATTCGTTACAGAACGAATTGTATGTTTTCAGTGTGTGGTGGTAGCTTGTGAAAGTGTTTAATACAATTGTAAATTCGTTTTTGTATCATTATTTCAATAATAAAGTAGGATACATCTGAACAACTACAGCTATGTATCTTGTCATTTATATTATCATTTTTGCTAATAATTAGAGTATTTTATTGTGTAATATTATTTCCATTCAGACTGAACGATATATTGGAAATGAATCGTATACCTCAATTTAATCATAAAATAAATTAAATACAGGTAAATATAGAGTTGAAGTTCCCATGCATTAGAATTTCCCCATTCCTCCCCCAAAGACCTGCAAGCATGTATGTGTTTGGTAAATGTGGAAACACCACCTACATAGTGTGTTGTGGTGAATTACACATTCCTAATGCATCCTATGGCTTGATTTGAGCAAACTAGTTTTATCTCTATGTAGGCTACACTGTCAAATGTGTAATGAGGAAGAAAACAGGCTACTCTTAATGTATTTTATGCAATATATTACTGTATAAAAATGTTGAAATGTGAAATTGATTATATTTTGAACGTTACATTTTATATTGTTACATTTGGGTATATCAAAATATATTTTTGCTAATATCTTAATACACTATAATAATTTGCAAACCAAGTAGATTTATTTTACAAGTACTTGACCACCAATGTAGTCAATTAATATTCACAGGTATGATGAAGCAGAAAAACGGTTTGCTGCAGATGGACAACCTGGACTGGAGGGAAAATGTCACATTTCAGGAGCGTTGGGCCAGTAACTGAAAGGTTGCTGGATCGAATCCCTAAGATGACAAGATAAAAATCTGTCGTTCTACCCTTGAGCAAGGCAGTTAACCCACTGTTCCCCGGGCGCCGACGACGTGGAGGTTGATTAAGGGAGCCCCCCGCGCCTCTCTGATTCAGAGGAGTTGGGTTAAATGCGGAAGACACATTTCAGTTGAATGCATTCAGTTGTACAACTGACTAGGTATTTCCTTCCTTTTTTTAAAGAAACAAGCCAATGAAAGGCAGTAAGGAAGGTAAAAAATAAACAAAAATAGCTTTTTAGCAAAAAACGATTTCTCAAGCAATTATTTTGCTAAGACTGTGAGTGGTCTGAGTGGGGAGGGGAAAACCGAAAACTGGCAGAGAGGTTTGGAACTCTCCTTGTTATTGGTCTATTAACTAATTTACCGGCTGGTGATGTCACCATGGAAAGCCGAATCTTCGCCCATGCAAAACCTGCTGATTAGAAGGTCCTGTGTAGATTGTATTTTCAACCAGCAACTATCAAGAAATAACACTGATTACATTTTTTCACACTTTTACAGTGTTAGTTTAATCCGGAAACTACAGGAAAAACAGAATTTTGAGTGCACCAGGCCTTTAATATATGCATTTTAGAAGAGGTGCAACGATGAGCGAGATATTGCTTGTAGCTTCCTAAACTCACCAGCAGAGGTCATTAAACGTCCATATCAGAGCTATCGATGCTTTAGTAGTGCGATTGCTTTTGTCGGTTTGATTGCTGTGAATGGACCACTGGCTGACATTGGACTCAAAATCTATGTTAAAAATTCACTGCCATGCTACCAATTCAGCAATGCAATTTTAAGGTAATTTGTTATCTCTGGTCCTCTGTAACTCAATTGGTAGAGCATGGCGCTTGTAACGCCAGGGTAGTGGGTTCGATCCCCGGGACCACCCATACGTAAAAATGTATGCGCACATGACTAAGTCGCATTTGGATAAAAGCGTCTGCTAAATGGCATATTATTATTATATTATGATTTTGATAAATTAACTCTGATCCAAACACGTATCGACATGTGGCTGGTACAGTCTGAATGTGGTTGTGTTTATTTTCAGCTGACAGCTAGCTAGGTGGGTAAACTAGCTGAACCTGTTTGTTGTTGTGATTGTTTGTTAGTTATAACAAATCATATCGGAATAAACTTGCAAGCCAGACGATTTGATAGCGTTGTTGTTTAAAGTGTTCTCCAATGTGTCCCCTTGCCTTAGCAGTCATGTGAATGTCAGAGATAATGTAAATATTATATTATTTGAGTTTGCCCCACAAATAAAGGTTTAGCTGGCTAGCTACTGCTGTAGTATAAATGCTACTACAATCTTTACTAAGATTTGTCAGTTTGGACCAGTTAGTCAGCTCATAATCTGTAACCTATTTCGTCAACAGGAAAGAATCAGCACCTGTGAATGTCGCAAGTCATTGATTCGATGGTGTCCAGCTAGAGCTAACTACAGCTATGTCTGTGGCCTCTCTCCTGCGAAGTGCCATGAGGTAAATAACCCACTATAGTACTTACATGATCATATTTACATCATCACCTGCACTCGGAATTGATTTGTGAAAAGGACCACTCTTTGTTGTTAGTTAGGTTAGTTAGCTAGCTACATATCTTTTTCTGTCGGTGATGTAATGCATGGTTTCCAAAACTCGGTCCTTGGGTTTTTTTTTTTTTCTGCTCTAGCACTACACAGCTGATTCAAATAACCAACTCATCATCAAGCTAAGGTCCCGTGTAGCTCAGTTGGTAGAGCATGGCGCTTGCAACGCCAGGGTTGTGGGTTCGTTTCCCACGGTGGGCCAGTATGAAAATGTATGCACTAACTGTAAGTCGCTCTGGATAAGAGCGTCTGCTAAATGACTAAAAATGTAAATGATTTGAATCAGCTGTGTAGTGCTAGGGCAGAAACAAAACGTGTACCAGGGAGGGGCCATGACTGAGTTTGGGAGACCCTGATGTAATGCACAGCAGGCTCCCTTTGGACATCATGGTGACAACCCTTTATCCTCACTCTCCGGTCCATGTTGTTTTTCAGAGTGAGGAACAGACATGTCGCTGCACATTTGATCCATCAGAGAGCTCTTTCAGGGGCAGATGCTATCAATGCACTTAGACCTTTCTACTTTGCAGTGCATCCAGACTTCTTTGGCCAGCATCCCAGGGAAAGGGTGAATAATGATGTCCTGTCGTTGGCCAAAGAGCAATAATGTCCATGTATCATAGAACTATGTAGCAGGGCAATTCCACAGTGACCTTTAACAATTTCCATTGAACATTTTACAAAAAAACATTTACTTGAAGAAGAGTGCAGATGCAAAGTTTGGTAACAGAATGACAAACAGCACAAACTGTCATTCTGTTACCAAACTTTGCATCTGCACTGTTCTTCAAGTAAATGTGTTTTTGTAAAATGTTCAGTGGAAATTGTTAAAAGTACTACTTGTGCATAGAGTTGTATGGTTTGTTTAACTTTGCATTCATTGGTTTTTGTTCAACATATATTTTAAAGTGAAAAATATGAGCCTCAGCATCATTCTGTTATCGTGGAATTGCCCAGCAGTCAATCAAAACGTTATTTGTGTAATTCTCTTCAGGAAGTGAATGAAAATTCCCTCAAGAGACTCAATGGTTATTTGGAAAACCTTCAGAAGCCGGGAACCCGCTCAGTCCAACCGACAAAGCTCACCTTTTATGTCAGGGACACAAAGGAGAAGGAAGTCTTTCAGCAGGACATCCTTCCCCCTGGTAATGTCCTTTTAGCCTGCTTAAAAGGTAGACTAAACTGTATTGGTGTTTCTTGATCATTTGTTTTTTTCATACCATTTTATGCATGGATGCGTTCCAAATGATACCCTATGGTCCCTGGTGAAAAGTAGTGCACTATATAGAGAATATGGTGCCATTTGGAATTTAGAATTTTTCTGTGACTGACTACGTTTGTAATACATTTGACTACATTTCCCAGGGTTCCGTTCGGTCAGCTTCACTCTGCAGACCAAGGATGTCCTCACCACCGTAATGGACGTGTTGAAGTCCTGCAGTCTATCCATAGAGCACATGAACGGACTGAAGGCCAGCTCAGAGTCACCCAAGAGCCAGCAGCCAGTGGCTGGGCCTGGTAACCCTTTCTACAGGCCCATCAAATGGGACAAAAGCTATTACAGCTTCACTGGCTTCAGAGACCCAGAGCAGGAGCTGGAGCAGGCCAAGAGAGTAGAGCCCACACTAAGGTACTGTATAATGAATACCTAACCAAAGCAAACGGTAACGTCTAATGTATGTAGAATGACACATTAGACATTAGCGTCGCTTTAGCTCGATCGCTTTTAACACTGTCAACTCAAATTCACAGATGCGTACCAAAGAGGGGTTTAAAAAGAAACAAATGATCTTGCTGTCTTAGTCACTGTCTGTGTACTTGCATTCGTTCTAGTTGGTTCATTCCTCTCACGCCTTGAGAGAGGTGACATGCTATACAGGCGAGCCATTGGACTGTCTGTCTGAAGAGTTGTCTTTCTACTGCAGCTTGTGGCTGAGAACCAATGAGAAGGAGGCTATGAAGAAGCAGAACGCCAGTCTCCCTCGACGGGATGAGCTGAAGAGACTCAAGAAGGAATTGTGTCAGAAATTTGCCTTGGAAGATATCAGGTAATCATCAACACTCTGAACAGCTATTCCATTCTGATACACAAGAAGAAAACATATTGGTGAGTTTCATTAAGTGCACAATCTCCCATGCAGGTAAAAACATGATGCAGAGCCATATATTAAATCAAAATCAAATTTTGTCACATGCGCCAAATACAACATGACTCTGGTGCAAAGTACTGGTCCTAAGAAGTAAAGTGCATAGACCCTAGAGCTTCAGAGGGTGCATGTTGTTACTGTGTTATACTGACCTACAGCTTCATAAGGTGCATGTTTGAGTTACTGTTTGACTGTGTTCTACTGACCTACGGTATAACAAAAGGTGGTCAATGTCATTCCAAAGTAATGTATTATCAATGTTCTGTAGACTTTGAGCCTCATCCTCCTGCTGTTGTTACATCATGACTGGTGATCTCTACTCTGCTCCCTCTTGAACACCTGATCTGATGACAATACCTCCTCCCTTCTGTAGGTGGCAGCGCAGCTGGGGAGTTACTCACAGATGCTGTCAGCTCCAGAGTCTGAGCCGCCTCTCCCAGCAGAACCCTGAGGCTGTGCTCAACCTGCGAGGTATACGCACCTGGAAGGGAGTCAATAAGGGTCTTTATGTCTTTTAAGAGTGGGCTTGAATTGTCTATTCTGTTGACATTTTGAAAGCTGTCCTGACTGGCAGAGAATGATGAGTGAATTGTAATGATGTAAGGTAAACAACTTTATGTATTCCTTGTTTTCTTTTAGGACACACTATAATATTCACTGACCAATCAGGGATGAATGCCTCAGGACATGTGATGCTGGGAACAATGGATGTTCATCACCAATGGACAAAAGTAAGACGCACGTTACATTTCAGCCGGAAAAGATACCGGTCTTTTTTATCTTCAAGTTGCTCATGTTCCGTGTTTGTGTGTGTCTCTGTGTGTGTGTGTCCTAGCTGTTTGAGAGTCTCCCCAGCTACCGTAGCCTGCACCAGCAGACAGAGTGGCTGAAGGAGAGGATCAGCTATGTGTTGGGAGGTATCCAGGTGATTGACATAGAGAGACTGGGGCCTGTACAGCCTATAGAGGAACACTGCAGCATCCTCAACACCTTCCATACGAGACTACTGGCCCGACGCCTAGCCCTGCACCCCAGGAGCATGCAAGGCCTTGCCATGACCCTGGAGAGGTAAGAGACCCTTCCCTATCCACCACAGACCATGTACCACACTGTCTACCATGTACCACACTGTCTACCATGTACCACACTGTCTACCATGTACCACACTGTCTACCATGTACAGTGTATTCAGAAAGTATTCAGACCCCTTCCCTTTTTCCACATTTTGTGCGATGGGACAAGGAAATCCCGGCCGGCCAAACCATTGCCTAACCCGGACGCTGGGCCAATTGTGCACCTCATGGGTCTCCCGGTCACAGCCGGCTGTGACACAGCCTGGGATCGAACCCAGGTATGTAGTGACGCCTCAAGCACTGCAATGCAGTGCCTTAGACCGCTGCGCCACTCGGGAGGCCCCCTGATTGAACATGATTTGGAAAGGCACACACTTGTCTATATAAGGTCCCACAGTTGACAGTGCATGTCAGAGCAAAAACCAAGCCATGAGGTCCAAGGAATTGTCAGTAGAGCTCAGAGATAGGATTGTGTTGAGGCACAGATCTGGGGAAGGGTACCAAAAAATGTCTGGAACATTGAAGGTCCCCAGGAACACCGTGGCCTCATTATTCTTAAATGGAAGAAGTTTGGAACCACCAAACCTCTTCCTAGAGCTGGCCGCCCAGCCAAACTGAGCAATCAGGGGAGAAGGCCCTTGGTCAGGGAGGTGACCAAGAACCCGATGGTCACTCTGACAAAGCTCCAGAGTTCCTCTGTGGAGATGGGAGAACCTTCCAGAAGGACAACCATCTCTGCAGCAAACCACCAATCAGGCCTTTATGGTAGAGTGGCCAGACGGAAGCCACTCCTCAGTAAAAGGCACATGACAGGCCGCTTGGAGTTTGCCAAAAGGCACTTAAAGGACTCTCAGACCATGAGAAACAAGATTCTCTGGTCTGATGAAACCAAGATTGAACTCTTTGGCCTGAATGCCAAGCGTCATGTCTGGAGGAAACCTGGCACCATCCCTACGGTGAAGCATGGTGGTGGCAACATCATGCTGTGGGGATTTTTCAGCGGCAGGGACTGGGAGACTAGTCAGGATCGTTGAAAGATGAATGGAGCAAAGTACAGAGAGATCCTTGAGGAAAAACCTGCTCCAGAGCGCTCAGGACCTCCAGACTGGGGGGCGAAGGTTCACCTTCCAACAGGACAACGACCCTAAGCACACAGCCAAGACAACGCAGGAGTGGCTTCGGAACAAGTCTCTGAATGTACTTGAGTGGCCCAGCCAGAGCCCAGACTTGAAGTTGATCGAACATCTCTGGAGAGACCTGAAAATATCTGTGCAGCGACGCTCACCATCCAACCTGACAGAGCTTAAGAGGATCTGCAGAGAAGAATGGGAGAAACTCCCCAAATACAGGTGTGCCAAGCTTGTAGCGTCATACCCAAAATACTTGAGGCTGTAATCGCTGCAAAAGGTGCTTCAACAAAGTACAGTGGGGGAAAAAAGTATTTAGTCAGCCACCAATTGTGCAAGTTCTCCCACTTAAAAAGATGAGAGAGGCCTGTAATTTTCATCATAGGTACACGTCAATGATGACAGACAAAATGAGAAAAAAAATCCAGAAAATCACATTGTAGAATTTTAAAGGAATTTATTTGCAAATTATGGTGGAAAATAAGTATTTGGTCAAAAACAAACGTTTCTCAATACTTTGTTATATACCCTTTGTTGGCAATGACACAGGTCAAACGTTTTCTGTAAGTCTTCACAAGGTTTTCACACACTGTTGCTGGTATTTTGGCCCATTCCTCCATGCAGATCTCCTCTAGAGCAGTGATGTTTTGGGGCTGTCGCTGGGCAACATGGACTTTCAACTCCCTCCAAAGATTTTCTATGGGGTTGAGATCTGGAGACTGGCTAGGCCACTCCAGGACCTTGAAATGCTTCTTACGAAGCCACTCCTTCGTTGCCCGGGCGTTGTGTTTGGGATCATTGTCATGCTGAAAGACCCAGCCACGTTTAATCTTCAATGCCCTTGCTGATGGAAGGAGGTTTTCACTCAAAATCTCACGATACATGGCCCCCATTCATTCTTTCCTTTACACGGATCAGTCGTCCTGGTCCCTTTGCAGAAAAACAGCCCCAAAGCATGATGTTTCCACCCCCATGCTTCACAGTAGGTATGGTGTTCTTTGGATGCAACTCAGCATTCTTTGTCCTCCAAACACAACGAGTTGAGTTTTTACCAAAAAGTTCTATTTTGGTTTCATCTGACCATATGACATTCTCTCAATCCTCTTCTGGATCATCCAAATGCACTCTAGCAAACTTCAGACGGGCCTGGACATGTACTGGCTTAAGCAGGGGGACACGTCTGGCACTGCAGGATTTTAGTCCCTGGCGGCGTAGTGTGTTACTGATGGTAGGCTTTGTTACTTTGGTCCCAGCTCTCTGCAGGTCATCACTAGGTCCCCCTGTGTGGTTCTGGGATTTTTGCTCACCGTTCTTGTGATCATTTTGACCCCACGGGGTGAGATCTTGCGTGGAGCCCCAGATCGAGGGAGATTATCAGTGGTCTTGTATGTCTTCCATTTCCTAATAATTGCTCCCACAGTTGATTTCTTCAAACCAAGCTGCTTACCTATTGCAGATTCAGTCTTCCCAGCCTGGTGCAGGTCTACCATTTTGTTTCTGGTGTCCTTTGACAGCTCTTTGGTCTTGGCCATAGTGGAGTTTGGAGTGTGACTGTTTGAGGTTGTGGACAGGTGTCTTTTATACTGATAACAAGTTCAAACAGGTGCCATTAATACAGGTAACGAGTGGAGGACAGAGGAGCCTCTTAAAGAAGAAGTTACAGGTCTGTGAGAGCCAGAAATCTTGCTTGTTTGTAGGTGACCAAATACTTATTTTCCACCATAATTTGCAAATAAATTCATTAAAAATCCTACAATGTGATTTTCAGGATTTATTTTCCTCAATTTGTCTGTCATAGTTGACGTGTACCTATGATGAAAATTACAGGCCTCTCTCATCTTTTTAAGTGGGAGAACTTGCACAATTGGTGGCTGACTAAATACTTTTTTTCCCCACTGTAAAGGGTCTGAATACTTATGTAAATGTGATATTTCCGTTGTTTTTTATACATTTGCAAAAATGTATAGAAACCTGTTTTTGCTTTGTCATAATGGGGTATTGTGTGTAGGGGAAAAAAAGTTTAATACATTTTTGAATAAGGCTGTAACGTAACAAAATCTGGAAAAAGTAAAGGGGTCTGTAAACTTTCTGAATGCACTGTACCCTACTGTCTACCAGTTACCAGACTGTCTACCAGTGGGCCAAAATACTCTGTTTATGCAGCTCATTGCTGTTCATGGTTATGATTTTGATGCTACTGTAATACCAGCCTGTTTGAGCAGCGGTCCCCAATTACACTGAACAAAAATTAAAACGCAACATGCAAAATTTCAAATACTTTTACTAAGTTACAGTTCATATAAGGAAAAACAGGGCAATTGAAATAAATTCATTAGGCCCTAATCTATGGATTTCACATGACTGGGCAGGGGCAAAGCCATGGTGAGCCGGGAGGGCATAGGCCCACCCACTTGGGAGCTAGGCGCACCAAATGGCGAGCCAGGCCCAGCCAATCCCAATGAGTCTTTCCCCACAAAAGGGCTCCTGTTTTCATTGATCATCCTTGAGATGTTTCTACAACTTGATTGGAGTCCACCTGTGGTAAATTCAATTGATTGGACTCCCCATTTGGTAGTTACAGTCTTGTCCCATCGCTGCAACTCCCCTACGGACTCGGGAGAGGCGAAGGTCGTGAGCCATGCGTCCTCCGAAACACGACCCTGCCAAGCCGCACTGCTTCTTGACACACTGTTCGCTTAAACTGGAAGCCAGCCGCACCAATGTGTCGAAGGAAACACTGTCCAGCTGGCAACCGAAGTCAGCTTGCAGGCGCCCAGCCCGCCACAAGGAGTCGCTAGAGCTCGATGGGACAAGGAAATCCCGGCCGGCCAAACCATCCCCTAACCCGGACGCTGGGCCAATTGTGCACCTCATGGGTCTCCCGGTCACAGCCGGCTGTGACACAGCCTGGGATCGAACCCGGGTCTGTAGTGACGCCTCAATGAGGCCACGGTGTTCTTGGGGACCTTCAATGTTGCAGACATTTTTTGGTACCCTTCCCCAGATCTGTGCCTCAACACAATCTTGTCTCTGAGCTCTACGGACAATTCCTTGGACCTCATGGCTTGGTTTTTGCTCTGACATGCACTGTCAACTGTGGGACCTTTATATAGACAAGTGTGTGCCTTTCCAAATCATGTCCAATCAGGGGGCCTCCCGAGTCCCTTAAATGGAAGAAGTTTGCAACCACCAAACCTCTTCCTAGAGCTGGCCGCCCAGCCAAACTGAGCAATCAGGGGAGAAGGGCCTTGGTCAGGGAGGTGACCAAGTCCGCGATGGTCACTCTGACAGAGTTCCAGAGTTCCTCTGTGGAGATGGGAGAACCTTCCAGAAGGACAACCATCTCTGCAGCACACCACCAATCAGGCCTTTATGGTAGAGTGTCCAGACGGAAGCCACTCCTCAGTAAAAGGCACATGACAGGCCGCTTGGAGTTTGCCAAAAGGCACCTAAAGGACTCTCAGACCATGAGAAACAAGATTCTCTGGTCTGATGAAATCAAGATTGAACTCTTTGGCCTGAATGCCAAGAGTCATGTCTGGAGGAAACCTGGCACCATCCCTACGGTGTAGCATGGTGGTGGCAACATCATGCTGTGGGGATGTTTTTCAGCGGCAGGGACTGGGAGACTAGTCAGGATCGAAAGATGAACGGAGCAAAGTACAGAGAGATCCTTGAGGAAAACCTGCTCCAGAGTGGTCAGGACGTCAGACTGGGGTGAAGGTTCACCTTCCAACAGGACAACGACCCTAAGCACACAGCCAAGACAATGCAGGAGTGGCTTCGGAACAAGTCTCTGAATGTACTTGAGTGGCCCAGCCAGAGCCCAGACTTGAACTTGATCGAACATCTCTGGAGAGACCTGAAAATATCTGTGCAGCGACGCTCACCATCCAACCTGACAGAGCTTAAGAGGATCTGCAGAGGAGAATGGGAGAAACTCCCCAAATACAGGTGTGCCAAGCTTGTAGCGTCATACTCAAGAAGACTTGAGGCTGTAATCGCTGCCAAAGGTGCTTCAACAAAGTAAAGGGTCTGAATACTTATGTAAATGTGATATTTCCGTTGTTGTTTTTTATACATTTGCAAAAATGTATAGAAACCTGTTTTTGCTTTGTCAATATGGGGTATTGTGTGTAAATTGATGAGGGGAAAAAAAGTTTAATACATTTTTGAATAAGGCTGTAACGTAACACAATCTGGAAAAAGTCAAGGGGTCTGAAAACTTTCTGAATGCACTGTACCCTACTGTCTACCAGTTACCAGACTGTCTACCAGTTACCAGACTGTCTACCAGGTACCAGACTGTCTACCAGGTACCAGACTGTCTACCAGGTACCAGACTGTCTACCAGTGGGCCAAAATACTCTGTTTATGCAGCTCATTGCTGTTCATGGTTGTGATTTTGATGCTACTGTAATGCCAGCCTGTAGAGCAGCGGTCCCAATTACACTGAACAAAAATATAAACGCAACATGCAACAATTTCAAATACTTTTACTAAGTTACAGTTCATATAAGGAAATCAGTCAATTGAAATAAATTAATTAGGCCCTAATCTATGGATTTCACATGACTGGGCAGGGGGCAGGGGCACAGCCATAGGTGGGCCTGGGAGGGCATAGGCCCACCTACTTGGGAGCTAGGCGCACCCACTGGCGAGCCAGGCCCAGCCAATCCGATATGAGTTTTTCCCCACAAAAGGGCTTTATTACAGACAAAAATACACCACAGTTTCATCAGCTGTCCGGGTGGCTGGTCTCAGACGATCTCGCATGTGGAGGTCCTGGGCTGGCCTGGTTACACGAGGTCTGCGGTTGTGAGGCCGGTTGGACATACTGCCAAATTCTCTAAAACGACGTCAGCGGCTTATGGTAGAGAAATGAACATAAAATTATCTGGCAATAGCTCTGGTGGACATTCCTGTAGTTAGCATGCCAATTGCATGCTCCCTCAAAACTTGAGACATCTGTGGCATTGTGTTGTGTGACAAAACTGCATAATTTAGTGGCCTTTTATTGTCCCCAGCACAAGGTCCACGTGTGTAATGATCACGCTGTTTAATCAGCTTCTTGATATGCCACACCTGTCAGATGGATAGATTATCTTGGCAAAGGAGAAATGCTCACTAACAGGGATGTAAACAAATGTATACTTTTTATGCGTATGGGATCTTTTATTTCAGCTCATGAAACATGGGACCAACACTTTACATGTTGTGTTTATATTTTTGTTCAGTTACATTCAGCCGTGGTCAGACTTTTCCTTGAGCGGGTAGCCGGGGGGCCGGAACATAATTATAAATAATTTGTATCCCAAACAGATGTAGTATTTGACAAAAGCAGAGTAATTTCAAACCTTGATTACGTTGGGATACGATCACATATGCCTCTATGTGTGGGAATACTTGAACAGATTTCCTAAATTTTAAAATCAATTTGAGCAAATTTCCTGGTGATTTTTTTACAGTCTTATGTCCAATAACAACAATTACTAAAACTAAGTCGCTCTGGATAAGAGCGTCTGCTAAATGACTAAAATGTAAATGTAATAAAACTTGTGGGGCCAAATGAAATCACAGGCGGGCCGCCCACTGATGCTGTCCCTGTGGTGTTTTGTCCCAGTGACCGCTCCAGCCCCAGCCTGCATGAGATGGGTCACTTCGTCATCCCAGCCACCTGTGAGCCCAGCAGACTACAGGTGTTCCTCCAGAGCATGGCCTGGGAGGCCCGACAACGAATGAAACACCGGAAACAGTGAGTGTCTCTGTCAGCCTCGTCTTCCTACCCTCCTACTTCCTACATGTCTGTGTACATTGTTGTATTGATCATCCCTCTGTCTGTGTGTGTGACCCTGACCTATGTCTGTCCCCCAGGCTGCAGGCAGAGGAGGAGGAGGTACTGCTCCACTGCCTGGAGGGTCTGGCCCTGAGGAGTCTGTCCAAGGAGCCCAGTGTCAGACACACCCAGATGATCCCCTGCTGCAGGCGGCTGCTGGAGGAACGCTCCCCCCTCATGGAGGGCCTCCGGGTGGAGGTCTCCCACTTCTACTCTGTCATGCAGGACGGGGACTTGTGCATCCCCTGGGACTGGAAGGGCTGAGGGGACAGGGCAGGGGACATGCTGCAGCACACCTGGTTGAACCAGACTGAATGCTGTGTTCACCATGTCTACCATCAGACTACGCTGCAGCTGCCACACAGAGAAACAAACCAACCGACTCTCGCAAGGTCAATCACTTTATACTTCTACTGGATAGGACAGGCAAACAGACAGATACTATTTTCACGCTATCATGCTGAACCTGGGCCTGGTTTCCCAAAAGCATCTTAAGGCTAAGTTCATAGTTAACCTTCGTAGGAGCATTGTTCAATCTCTGAACTGTTTCTCAAAACCATCGCTACTAAAGTTGCACTTGAAAATTGTCATTATTTACTGACTGCCTCAGATCACTCCTAGAACAGCTAAGAGATGCGTGTTTCCCCCTAGGGGTCACTTTATACACAGAAGATCTTTGCTAAACATAGAATCAAGATTCTTATCTTCTCTCTGTGACCAATGCTAACTTCACAAAGATGTTGACTACAAATATAAAGTTGCCAATGTCTTTGCAATTGTTAGAAACAAGCAAAGGATAAAAATATGCTTAAAATTAAAACCGAGATGACTGCATTAAAATATAAATTACCTACCTACAGTATAGACTACGTAGGCCTATATTTCAGTTAGTTTTATTTAGCTACGATCTGTAATTTCTGCCTCAATATATTTAATGATATATTGGGGCGGCAGGTAGCTTAGTGGTTAAGAGCGTTGTGCCAGTAACCGAAAGGTCGCTGGTTCTAATCCCCGAGCCGACTAGGTGAAAATTTAACCCTAATTGCTCCTGTAAATTGCTCTGGATAAGAGTGTCTGCCAAAAAAAAATTGTACACTAACGGGTGATCAATGTGTAAAATCTTGATCTATGCATTAGAATAAGCCCCCTCAATATTTGCAGCCATAGGAGCTGATCCGTCGTCAGTATTATAGAATAATTATAATGTTAAGGTTAGATTTTAATGGAGATAGCTGATCCGGGAGCAGTGCTCAGTTTCTTTCAATCCTGTTAGTATAGACACATGCCTCAACGACGCACTCTCTCTGCGTGGTGTTTTGGGAAAGATGCATCATTAAAACACTGGCAAGCCTAAGTTCCATCGCTATCGGGAAACCAGGCCCAGGACTATGCTGGCTTGCATATGTTCTTTTCACAATGTCCTTTCCAGCACGGTTCCAGAAACTATGGTGGGTAACCAGGCTAGCGCAGTAAAGCTCGGCTTGGCTTGCAGTAAAGCTCGGCTTGGCTTGGCTCGGCTCAGTAGCGTGAAAAGGTCAGGCTGGTGCAATAGAGTTAACGTGGAACCCTGTATTATCGGCATACTCAACAGCGTTTAAGAAATCTATTACCTTCAACAGTGTTATCATGTGATCAAGCCATCAAAGTTTTAGTCGCAAAACTTACGGTTATTTTCCAGTCCATTTAAATGTTGAACTCGAGGTGATTTAGTCCTCCAACCGCTAGAGAGTGTCCGAAGTTAGGGGTCTGATGTTGGGGGGAAAATTAGCTAGCTTGAAGTCAATCAGTGTTCAGTGAAGAAACCAACACTGAGTAATAGTATTTTTATTTGTATTATGACGTGTATGAGGGAAGAGAATAAGATTATGTTAATGTAGCACTTTTTATTGATAGTGTTATTTTAATGAACATTTTGTGGAGTATTATTTCCGAGACAATCTACGAAGACAAATTTAACACGTATTCAAATGTGTTACACTTCACTTTAAACTGTACAGAAACACACTTTGCTATCACAAAAGAAAGCGCAAAAAAAAATAAACACCTCAATATTAGTGTCTCATATGATGATCAAACGGAAGACATCATATACGGCTGCAGTCTTTAAACTATCCACTAGATGGAGCCCTTTCACTAAACTCAATATCGGGTTCATTGGTTTTTGTAATGATGTGTTCTTCCAAGTGAGATTTGAGGATCTGGTGTTCCTCAGAGAAGGATTGCTGATTTAGGATCAGTTTAGCCTTTTAGATCACAATAAAAAACATTACATGGACAGGGGGGACCTGATGTTTGATACATACAGTAGACCACTGACCAGAAACTGTATTTGTATTTTTGTATTTAATAAGGATCCCCATTAGCTGCTACCAAGGCAGCAGCTACTCTTCCTGGGGTCAGCAACATTAAGGCAGTTATATACCATTTAAAATATTACATTACATGACATTACTGTAGGTTGACCTTGACTGTGAAATGAACAACAGCTATTAGAAGAACTATGGTACTGGAAGTGGAGTTGACTGCCCTGATGCAGCTCGGGCGACGCGACAGTCAAATGGAATGGAGACTTTATACTGTAAGATCAAGTAATACTAACTGTATCAGTTACCTGACCAGTTAGAATACTTGTTAATGTAATGTCGAGAGACAGCTGGGAACAATAATGATTAATATGTTTGTTTTAACCTCTTGTTAACTTAACACAATACCACAGAATAAAGCGCTGCTAGAATAAAGCAAGTGATTTCAAGCGTTGGGAGAAGATAGGACATTTATTTAGTCAAATATAATTTATCGTCTGCTAAATGACATGTAAAAATGTTATTACTATTGCTCGATTGATTAACACTATTTTCAGCATTCGTGTTTGTTTTCCCTTGTCCCTCAAAGTGTATGTTGTAACTTGTTGCAGAGCTGACTGACTCGACCCCGAATCGGCTCTGTGCTGAACGGTTGTCGAAACCCAATTTGATCCAAACACACCCATTCATAAACTCTACACGAACATGTGGATGTCTCTCTCACTCTCCCTGAGTGATAAATGTTTGTTGAATTGGACTATTGAAGCAAGAGGTCCCTTCCTCCTCTGTATACTAAGCCAAAACCATATACACTGAACAAAAATATAAACGCAACATGTAAAGTGTTGGTTTCATGAGCTGAAATAAAAGATCCCATATGCACAAAAAGCTTATTTCGCTCAAATTTTGTGAACAATTTTGTTTACATCCCTGTTAGTGAGCATTTCTCCTTTGCCAAGATAATCCATCCACCTGACAGGTGTGGCATATCAAGAGGCACGATCATTACACAGGTTCACCTTGTGCTGGGGACAATAAAAGGCCACTCTAAAATGTGCAGTTTTGTCACACAACACAATGCCAAAGATGTCTCAAGTTCTGAGGGAGCGTGCAATTGGCATGCTGACTGCAGGAATGTCCACCAGAGCTGTTGCCAGAGAATTGAATATTAATTTCTCTACCATAAGCCGCCTCCAATGTCATTTTAGAGAATTTAGCCATTTTCCAGCGCCTAGATTCAGGGACCGTCAAAAGTAGTGCACTATCGAGGGAATAGGGTGCCAATTGGGACGTACCCTGAGGCAGGGGGGGATGGATATTATCACAGAGTAAATCCCTGTTTTTTAGGAGAGATTAATAGACAAGGGAGGTTCTGTCCCACCTGGCATGGGGTTGGCCTTTGAGCAGTGTTCGTTTTAGTCTTCCTGCCCCTTCATTGTGCCGGATATGGGTTTGGTTGGTTTATGGCAAGCTGATCCTGATCAGCCACTTCCTCCTAGTTAGAGAGGAACCCCCTCTGAGTTTGAGTGTGTTGCCATAAAGCCATGGAGATTATGACGCTAAATCAGACTGTTCTAAAACAAGAAAGCCTTTAATGATTGATACCTGAGCTCCCACTGTTGTTAGCATACCTCCCCTGCTCTAATGTAGTCTGGGTACCAGTCATTATAGCTAACATTCCACTCCTTGCCACTCCTGTCTTTGGCAAATGACAGGAGTGGCAAGGAGTCGAATGTAATAACTGAACAGAGACAGCAACTAGGCTAGCTCTAACTCACTGTTATTACCATACCTCCACTGCTCTAATGCATTTTCACAGAGTTGGGAGGGGAGCGTTCACTATCAATTACCCCATTTGATCATGACAAGAGGCGGTGACTTGACCAGCGTTTGGCCCTCTTGTGACTGTGGGAAAGGTTTCAATCAAGTGCAAGAAAGTTGGCCGTTATTCTGTAAAATAACAAGGGCCATGAATATCTTACATGTCAAATGAAAAGTAAGGGGTAGACAAAAATGCTACATTTCCTCTTATTTAGGTCGCTGGGCGAATAACTTGAATGTCCCTGCCTCCTTCAAAGTAGATCATCTTGTTGGTTCTGAATGGAATGTTTCTGATCACTCTATTGTAGTCTCTTTCCCAGTGTCCTTTTGCTTCCTTTTGGAACCAGAAAATACACTGCTCAAAAAAATAAAGACACTTAAACAACACAATGTAACTCCAAGTCAATCACACTTCTGTGAAATCAAACTGTCCACTTAGGAAGCAACACTGATTGACAATACATTTCACATGCTGTTGTGCAAATGGAATAGACAACAGGTGGAAATTATAGGCAATTAGCAAGACACCCCCAATAAAGGACTGGTTTTGCAGGTGGTGACCACAGACCACTTCTCAGTTCCTATGCTTCCTGGCTGATGTTTTGGTCACTTTTGAATGCTGGCAGTGCTTTCACTCTAGTGGTAGCATGAGACGGAGTCTACAACCCACACAAGTGGCTCAGGTAGTGCAGCTCATCCAGGATGGCACATCAATGTGAGCTGTGGCAAGGTTTGCTGTGTCTGTCAGCGTAGTGTCCAGAGCATGGAGGCGCTACCAGGAGACAGGCCAGTACATCAGGAGACGTGGAGGAGGCCGTAGGAGGGCAACAACCCAGCAGCAGGACTGCTACCTCCGCCTTTGTGCAAGGAGGAGCAGGAGGAGCACTGCCAGAGCCCTGCAAAATGACCTCCAGCAGGCCACAAATGGGCATGTGTCTGCTCAAATGGTCAGAAACAGACTCCATGAGGGTGGTATGAGGGCCCGACGTCCACAGGTGGGGGTTGTGCTTACAGCCCAACACCGTGCAGGACGTTTGGCATTTGCCAGAGAACACCAAGATTGGCAAATTCGCCACTGGCGCCCTGTGCTCTTCACAGATGAAAGCAGGTTCACACTGAACACATGTGACAGACGTGACAGAGTCTGGAGACGCCGTGGAGAACGTTCTGCTGCCTGCAACATCCTCCAGCATGACCGGTTTGGCGGTGGGTCAGTCATGGTGTGGGGTGGCATTTCTTTGGGGGGCCGCACAGCCCTCCATGTGCTCGCCAGAGGTAGCCTGACTGCCATTAGGTACCGAGATGAGATCCTCAGACCCCTTGTGAGACCATATGCTGGTGCGGTTGGCCCTGGGTTCCTCCTAATGCAAGACAATGCTAGACCTCATGTGGCTGGAGTGTGTCAGCAGTTCCTGCAAGAGGAAGGCATTGATGCTATGGACTGGCCCGCCCGTTCCCCAGACCTGAATCCAATTGAGCACATCTGGGACATCATGTCTCGCTCCATCCACCAATGCCACGTTGCACCACAGACTGTCCAGGAGTTGGCGGATGCTTTAGTCCAGGTCTGGGAGGAGATCCCTCAGGAGACCATCCGCCACCTCATCAGGAGCATGCCCAGGCGTTGTAGGGAGGTCATACAGGCACGTGGAGGCCACACACACTACTGAGCCTCATTTTGACTTGTTTTAAGGACATTACATCAAAGTTGGATCAGCCTGTAGTGTGGTTTTCCACTTTAATTTTGAGGGTGACTCCAAATCCAGACCTCCATGGGTTGATCAATTTGATTTCCATTGATAATTTTTGTGTGATTTTGTTGTCAGCACATTCAACTATGTAAAGAAAAAAGTATTTCATAAGATTATTTCATTCATTCAGATCTAGGATGTGTTATTTTAGTGTTCCCTTTATTTTTTTGAGCAGTGTATATCCTGGCATTGTGATAATGTTGCCCCCTGCCTCCTACTTTGAAGGAGGCAGGGACATTCAAGTTATTTGCCCAGCAACCTAAATAAAGAGGAAATGTAGCATTTTTAGCCACCCATGACTTTTCATTTGACATTCAAGATATTGATTGGGGCTTGGTGGAGTATTACTGGTGTTCAAGTGACTCCCATGTTTTATTGGTTCTCCCAGTCTTTCAATTAGTTTTATTTGCAAAGTTTAATATGACACAAGGGAGGGAGACATCCATGTCAATACGCTGGCTGACCCATCCATCAACACAGATGCAGTGGACATGGTAAAGGTGTGAGACTTGATTAATATGTTGGGTTCAGGTCCCGCTGGTTACACACACGACCACATTACTTTTGGCCATTTCCAACATAGACTATTCCTGACTCTTATTTTTTAAAATACTTTTTTCACACTTTTTGTTGATATCCAATTGGTAGTTACAGTCTTGTCCCTTCGCTGCAACTCCCCTACGGACTCGGGAGAGGTGAAGGTCGAGAGCCATGCGTCCTCCGAAACATGACCCTGCCAAGCCGCACTGCTTCTTGACACTGCTCGCTTAACCCAGAAGCCAGCCGCACCAATGTGTCGGAGGAAACACTGTCCAGCTGGCGACCGAGGTCAGCTTGCAGGCACCCGGCCCCCCATCGCTAGTGACGGCTCAAGTACTGCGCTGCGCCACTCGGGAGGCCCTCTGACTCTTTCTTTTCATATTTCCCCAGTTCTAGTAGCCGACACTCACTCCTGTGTTTTTCCTCTGAGCAGGATTGGGCGGGGCCAGCTCCTAATCCAGGACTGGAGAATGGGGTCAAAAGGTTCCCTTTAGAGCTCTGTCACTCAGGCTGGCATCCCACTGCTTTAATGGACCGTTAACATGTGGAGGATAAACCTCACTGAGGTTCCCCTGCCCTGCCCTGCCGTGTGTGTGTGTGTGTGTGTGTGTGTGTGTGTGTGTGTGTGTGTGTGTGTGTGTGTGTGTGTGTGTGTGTGGTGTGGGTGTGGGTGTGTGGGTGTGGGTGTGGGTGTGGGTGTGGGCGCGCAATTCCAGGAGAGACTGAACCATTAGCACAACACCAATGGCATGGCATTCACAGAGGCATGGATGAGTAAGTATTGCTTTTCAGTCTGAGACAGGATGAATGGATACGATCATGATCAGACATTTATTTGTTCACATTCAAAGTGGACATTAGAGTTGTTTGATAAAACGTTAGTATTAGGCTACTGCAATTTAAATAAACATAATTTAGTTTTTAGTTTTTTTAAATACACAAGCCAGAGAGAAAGTTTGATTTAGTTTGCCTGGTACCATGGAACCAATGGAATAGTCTCAAAAGTGTCAAATCAAACTAAATTAAAGCCACAGTCTATACTTTTTCCATGAAATCAAAATATTGAAATAGAGCCCTTGTTTTTGCACAATTGCTATTTGAGGTCTACTCCATGACATAATGCATATATATTGTAACATTTCTGATTAAAATGTTACTGTTAAAATGGCATGAATAGGGCGACACGCTAGTATGTAACCACCGGATAACAGCCCAGCCCCCTATCCAACAACCTCCCCGAGTCACCTTCCATGTGATGAGGCGGAAGTATGCTCACGGCTGTAGGAGTAGAGACATGAGAAACTCACGCCTTGCAACTTACATGGCACATAATACACATATATAGTAAAACCTACGTTGTACGTCTTGAGATAACGTATGGTTCAACATGCGTGGAAGCGTGCACAAGGACACGGGCGCAAATGAACACATTCCATGGAACGCTTCACGGCACGGGACGAATGGATTAATTCTGCGCTGGCGGATGGTCAAGGGAAGCCAGTGGAAAACGCTGTACATTTGATCTCAAGAAAGTGCAGCCTTTTATTATCCACAACGAATGCATCGCAGAGAGCATTTCGTTCAGAGAAGGTATCATAGAGTAGCAAATCATTTTTGGGAGACTGTACGACAACTGTTAGGCTATTCGATCTTATGCCCGCAAGGATCGAGCTAACTTTCTACATCAAATGGAATAGTTATTTAATTGCCTTCGACTGACTCTGTCTCTGTTTGATGCGCATGGTTGGCTACATTTGAAAGAGTTCTGATGGTGGATTAGAATAATTGGACGGACACTTACTGTTAAAACACGTTTGTGCGTAATTGAACAGAGGAATTGATAACGAAAACAGATAGTGGCCCTTCTCTGCTTGGGGAGAATCGGAGCGGGGGACTCGCCGAGGATTTCATGTTTGCCACAATATTGGTTTATTCCCCGCAACATTGAAGTAAACAAGAACATACAACTTTAATATTAAGTTATAATTACTCTCAAATGTCAATACTCAAAACGCGTCAAATGTGAATTATGTATGCAAATAAGGAAGACCTGAAGTTTTCTATTCCAAAGAGCTTTCATTGACGTTGACTGCCATTCTAATTTCCTTCAAACGCACATCCTTCACGTGCAGACCTATTTAATCAGTTACAAATGTTATTTGGTGGCAGTGAGTGGATACACTTTTGCACAATAGGAGCAACGTTGAATTGAAACATGTAATCTAGTCCATCGGCACTGCATCTATTTACCAAGGAAACCATAGGCTATGTCTAAATGCGCGTTTAAAGACCCCTATTCCAAAGCAGTTGCGCAAATGGCTTCATTCCCTGACTTGAAGACATGTCCCCTATGCAAAGAACTGTGCTGCTCATCTGCTCCGCTCTCCTCCAACTCGTCCACCTCCTCGTCCTCGTCCCATGCCTCAACTAGCTCATCTACCTCATCCTCCAGAAGGCTCCACGTCCTCCCCTGCCTCCATGCCTTCTGCAGGCAGTGTCTGGAGGGCCAGCGGAACCCCGGAGACCCCTTGAAACTCCGGTGCCCGACATGTGACCAAAAGATTCTAATGCCCGAATCAGGAGTAGACGCCTTGCCCTCGTCAAACTTTTTATTTAGCAACCTGTTGGATGCCATGGTAAATTTGTCTGAGGAGCAAATTAACAATACTGTTAGCAGCAGCAGGGGCAACAACTTGTCTCACAGACACAGCAGAAAGCCCCTGTGCAGCTCTTGCGACGAGGGCAACCCTGCTACCTCTCACTGCCGAGACTGCCAGGAGTACCTTTGTAACAACTGTGTAAGGGCACACCAAAGGGTCCGGCTTACCAAAGACCATTTCATTGATAGACTAGTGGAGAGTCTGTTTCACCAGCACCTGGGGAACCTAACCAACAACTGTAACAACACTTCTACTGCCACTCTGAGCCAGTCCTCCTTCCAGTCGAGCTACTCTCTGCTGCCTGTCTTTCAGGACAAGCTGAGTTTCTGCCAGCAGCATGACAATGCGGTAAGTTTGTCCATCTGAGTCTAACAGCAGTAATGTTGTTTAATTTCATCATCAGATAGATTAGAGGATGTGGGAGGATGGGGCTGTCTGGCCCTCCACCTCTTCAAAGCCTAACGTGGGTTTGGGTGTTATTGGACAAACTCATACATTTACATTTACATTTTAGTCATTTAGCAGACGCTCTTATCCAGAGCGACTTACAGGAGCAATTAGGGTTAAGTGCCTTGCTCAAGGGCACATCGACAGATTTTTAACTTAGTCGGCTTGGGGATTAGAACCAGCGACCTTTCGGTTACTGGCACAACGCTCTTAACCACTAAGCTACCTGCCGATCTACCATTCGGGCTTGACAGTCCATAGCAATATCACAGTTTCATAACACTAATTTCACAGTCTCCGTCTCATTACACCAAAGTCATGGATAAATAATATATTATATAAATGTACATTTGGAGAGTTTTTGGAGCAGTGTCTCTGCTGGGGTGTACTTGGACTAAGCAGCAGTGCAGTCCCTCACTCCTGTCCATTGTCTCACGTCACTAGACGTCACGCAGTTGCCAGGAGCCAATGCAGACGTGAGACAATGCACTCCTGTCCTGACTCCGGTGCAGACAGTGTGTGGTGTGAAAGTGTAGGCGTGCAGGCTCCCAACAGAGAAACACACAGGAAGCCTTTACTCAGTGGAAGGCCAGTCGGAATGCCATGACGTCGTAACGTTAGTCTTCAGCAGAGCAGTCGTCTGGGAGACATGCTGATGATAGGACTACACACACACATTCTCTCTGAGGACCAAGATGGGATGGAGGGGAGCCATCTGGTGTTGTGGAGCTGCTTGTAGGCTGGAGCCTGCGTCTCAAATGGAACCATATTGCCCTATGGGCCCTGGTCAAAAGTAGTGCACTAAAAATTGGAATAGGGTGTCATATGGGAGGCAGCCAGAGAGAGAGGGGTTCCTTTCCTCCTATGGTAGGACCAGATCTTCATCAGGAATGTGGAACGGTTTTCGCTAGGGCTGAGGAAACCTTTAATACAGTTTAAAGTTCTACTGTAGGCTACACATGCACAAACATTGCATTGGCATGATTCAGCTCTTTTATGAAAGGAATTGTAAATATTTTCTCCCCATGAATGTAAATCTCGGTGTTGAAGAGGCTTTGAAAATAGTTTTAACATGACAGAGTGGACGGTTGGTTTCCCTGCTAGTCCAGACATCAGCAGACATAGCATTAACAATGGGGCCCAGCCTTCTCATTGGGATTATGAAAACAATGTCTAGCCAAAATAACTCTGTGGATGCATCCCAAATTGCACCCTATTCCCTATATAGTGCACTACTTTTGACTTGATCCCTAAGGTAAAGTAGTGCACTACAAAGGGAATAGGGTGCCATTTGGGACTCGATGTTGCCATAAAACAGGCAGGCAGCGTGGCCGGCGAGTCAGTGGAACATATGTCTGAACAGTTAACGCTGTTATATGAAGAAGACAGATGGAGCAGTCAGTCCACCAGTCCAGTCCAGTCTGGGAAAATAAAGAAAGCAGTTGGAACCGTCTGCAGATTGTGTTTCTGATGAACAGTGGAAAGTAGAAGGGTGATTCACTCAGCGTGTGAGTCACATTTTTTCATCTGCTGAGTCCAGATTTTTGTACAGCTGGAATATCACCATTGTTTGAAACAGAATGGGTCTACGCAAAATCCCAGCTGTGATGAAGTGTTGGGCACACCTATCAGTGTAGAGCACGAGCTTGTCAAAGGGAGATGTGTCCATTAATGGATTTTTGTTTTGACCGCCAGGTCTCGGTTTTGGTTCTTGAACTTCCGGGTACTGGAGTGGACATTCCGTTTGGACACTTCCCTTTAGTTGGGTAGTTCCTTCAGACTCTTCCATGAACCAGGGGGCTCCTATGGGTGGGTGTGTGTGTACTGGGAGGGGGCTGTAGGGTAGTTCAGCAGACGCAGGTCTGGCTGCCCCCCCCCCAACACACGCACACACAGCACACATGGAAGCGCTTTCATAATTTTATATACAAGTAACGTCTGGCATGGCATCAAAGCAGCCCTCTCTCTCTCTCTCTGGGATTGGATGGAAGCCCTATTCCTAGACAGCGATGGGCTCTGAAATGTCTCATGTGTTTCTGGCTCATAGTCAGTCCATGAGGAGGCACAGTTCTTATTAGGGTTCTGAAATTCTGGGAACTTCCCCAAAAACTTTTCCAGAAATCCTGGTTGGAAGATCACTTGAATCTGGAGGGAATAAGTAGAACATCTAGGAACGCTCCAACCGGGATTGGAGAAGAAAACCTGGGAGTTTTGGTGAGTGAATCACAACTGGAAGTAATCTATCTGCACACAGAAAGACTTGGCATATGCTTGTAGTGTTCTATTGCTGAGGCTGAGCCATAGAGATCAAGTCATGCATGTTACTGGAAGGACGCACAAACCAACAAACACTGCTGGCCATTTTTTAGAGCGGTACACACTCCGTCATGGTGCTCTGAACGCATTCTCTCTTTCTCCCCTCTTACACACACACACACACACACTCTCTGCTGGGGCCCGAGCTGATATTGTTTGTCTTCTCGTAAGCAGCCAATGAGGTCACCCCATTTGTCTTGATACGGTGGTCGTGCACACTGTTTTCAGTGTGTGTGTGTGTGTGTGTGCAGCGCTTAGCATTCTAGGCCACGTGTGACTTCTGTGAAACAGGATGAGCACGGAAAGGGCAACACCGGGTTGTGTTGATCTGTACGGTCCACGCTCTGTGTGTGTGTGTGTGTTTTACATCAGCCCCGTGTGGGAATTCTGGCATTTTTACATTATTCTCTCTCTCTTTACATTTCTCATGGATCTACAGGCTAGCGAGGAAACAACAATTTAGTTGATTTTACTGTCTGAGATTCTGATGAATCATAATTCCAGATGTTTTCTGATTTAGAAGTTTTTGAAGTCCACCATTCCAGGGAATGGTTTGAGTCCCTTTTTTATTTATTTATTTATTTACTTCAGACACATTAAATACCATAATATGGACTGGAAAGTGATAACAGCTCTGTCCAGTTCCACAGAAGTTCCAGTGCATCCTGACTTTGGTTCCTTTTACCCCAGCTTTGGGTCACCTTTGGCCACTTCTGTTGGCAGTTTGGTGTTTTAAAGGCCTATACTATTCCTCCCCTCCCTCTGATGCTGATAGATACAGGATCACAACCTCTGGTAGGGTAACACAACACTAGGACTGTAACGGTCATGGAATCTTGGATGATTGTAATTGGCTAGCCAAATGACCGCGGTCACTGTAATAACCGTTTGAATAACAAACATATATTATTATTAACGTTTTTTGGCTGAGGTTTTCTGCTCTCCTCTCTACTGGCAGTCATGTGCAATAGGGTGCCATTTGGGACGCATGTGCTATGTTTCCAGTAGTTTTATGCCGTGTGTTCAGAGGAGATGCCTAATCCTAGAGTACACTTCTTCCTGGCACTGGGGAACTGTATCTGTCATTGAAATGCCAACCCAAACCCTCAACTTCAGTATCATGCGTGGAACTCCACATACAGTATAAACCCAGGACAATTTGCGCTAATGCGTGAATGACGCTAGAGACATTTGAGCTGGTGGGGTGGAACGGAAGTGGAGGGAGGGAGGGAGGGGCTCATACCAAGATGATGTCACTAGTAGGCATTTAGTACGATATATCGACCTTCATATCGGTATCAGACACACACACACACACTAGGATAAGGGAATTCTTTCTGTGCCAGAGGCATGGGACGGGTACTACATAACATCAGTGAGTGAGTGATTGCATATTGGTCAGTCAGATGAAAATCACCTTAGACAGCACAACCTAGTGGTCCCTGGGAATCTCAATAGCATATTCCTCGTGTCCTCTCTCCTTGTCTCCTTCTCAACACCCATTGGAGGAGAAGGTCAGAGGGGAAAAACCTCTGGCTTTCTCCTCCAATGGGTTTAGAGAAAGAGACGAGGAGAGAGGATGCGAGGAGTATACAATTGGGATCTTCCCCATCAGTCTGGCTCTCCTGCTCTGAGCTGGGGTCTAAAGACGTCAGCATGCTTCAGTTCAGCTGGCGGCTAGCCGAACCAAATGAGTGTGCTCGCAAACACCTTTTAAAGACCTTCGCTTGAAAAATGAGAAACAAGCAGCAATAGTACCATTTTGTCGATTTGAGACGCTGTAGCCAATTCATCAACATAGTCAGAATTCATCTAAAATAACCCAAGAAATCTGCCACTTTGAAATTTTGATGTTTGGTGCAGTATGAAAAAATTAGCACGAAAACCAGTCTTTTCTCGTTGAATGACAACAAATACTTTATTGACGAATCCCTACTGTTGACCAATCACAGACGAAGGAGCGTAGACTTCAGCCACGGACTTCGGCTACGGACTTTGGCTTTCCTCAAGGAAAAAATGTTTTGTGTGGCCGAACAGCCGAAGGAACCCTTACCGAAGTCCAAAACGTGGTGTTGAAGGCTGTATTCGAGGTGCTAGTCACCACTGATGGATTGGCCTGTGTGGTGGGGAGAGGAAAGCACCTCCAAACTCCTTAATTTGGTAATTTCATTGAGATTAATCTGCCTCAGTGATTACTGTCGGATAGATCCGTTGACATTTTCAAATTGCTCACTGGGTAGAGAGAAGGGGCCAATGGGTGAGATATGTACCCCGGCCCATGCTGAGTGATCCATCATTTTATGAGGACTTTGTGGTTCTGAGTGGATTACACACACTCGCTCTCATACTGAATCTCCAGAACGAACTCGAGTATCCAGTCTAAATTAATTCTCATTGTGAAAACACTCTGACAACTTCACCTCTGCATTAAGCCTTAGTATCGTCAGAGAAGTATGTCCCCACACCAGCACCAAATCATATTATGACTGTTGCTATAGAGACATGTACTAGCTATGTACTATATGGTCCTTGAATGAAGTTCTGGATACGTGCCACGCATCCATGCACTTTAGTGCTAATACATAGGAACATATCTAAGATAAACGTGTCTTTAGGGGCTCTGTATTGTAAATATTGATGTTCTTGGCAACTGACCAATGTAATTGTTTATTGGCCTATATTATGTGGTGATTTGGCCTGCATCACTCACCCTACTTTCTCCATCCAACCCTGTACACTCTACCCTTTCACTCCTGCTTCCCCTCTTCCTGTACGCTCTACCCTTTCACTTCTGCTTCCCCTCTTCCTGTTCGCTCTACCCTTTCACTCCTGCTTCCCCTCTTCCTGTTCGCTCTACCCTTTCACTCCTGCTTCCCCTCTTCCTGTACGCTCTACCCTTTCACTCCTGCTTCCCCTCTTCCTGTACGCTCTACCCTTTCACTCCTGCTTCCCCTCTTCCTGTTCGCTCTACCCTTTCACTCCTGCTTCCCCTCTTCCTGTACGCTCTACCCTTTCACTCCTGCTTCCCCTCTTCCTGTACGCTCTACCCTTTCACTCCTGCTTCCCCTCTTCCTGTACGCTCTACCCTTTCACTCCTGCTTCCCCTCTTCCTGTACGCTCTACCCTTTCACTCCTGCTTCCCCTCCTTTCTTTCTTTCTTTCTTTCTTTCATTCTTCCCCTCACTCTTTCTTTCACTCTACTCTGCTTTAGACAGGACTGTGTCCAAAACACTGAGTATGTGATGCCGTACAGTACATCGTTGTGCAGACCGAGGCAGAGCCATAGCTTAATGTCATTGTTACTATTATTCAATCGTCAGGACCCGACAGTCAACATGTTAGATATTGTACAGAATGTAACAATAAAACTTTGTCTGCGGTTGGTTGTTGCTGTATGTGAGAGGATGACTGTTCTGTTGCTGACTGTGTGCTTCTTTGACTGTCCCTCTGCAGGTTCTGTATTTCTTCTGTGACACGTGCTCTGTGCCCGTCTGTGGGGAGGGCAGTGCGAGTTGTCACTCAGGCCACAGCCTCCGCTACCTCCAGGATTCCCTGCAGGACTCCAGGACCCTCACCATCCAGCTGCTGGCAGACGCCCAGCAGGGCAGGCACACTGTACAGGTAGGTAATGTGATGCAGGGCGGGCACACTGTACAGGTAGGTAATGTGATGCAGGGCGGGCACACTGTACAGGTGGGTAATGTGATGCAGGGCGGGCACACTGTACAGGTGGGTAATGTGATGCAGGGCGGGCACACTGTACAGGTAGGTAATGTGATGCAGGGCGGGCACACTGTACAGGTAGGTAATGTGATGCAGGGCGGGCACACTGTACAGGTAGGTAATGTGATGCAGGGCGGGCACACTGTACAGGTAGGTAATGTGATGCAGGGCGGGCACACTGTACAGGTAGGTAATGTGATGCAGGGCGGGCACACTGTACAGGTGGGTAATGGGACGCATCTCTGACCATCCGAGAAATCCGTCTCTCAACTGCCACTGGGTTTTAGTATGGTGTTGGCAACACTGGGTTTGTGGGTTTGATCCTGGTCTCTGTCCCTTTAGGTAGAGGTGTCTCTAAATGAGGATATAAGGACCTTCTTTTCATCCTTGTGATCAGAAGATATATAGGGGGATAAACAGCAAGGACACTCTACGTTGGTGTGTGTGTGGGCCACTAGGCAGTATAGGGGGATATACAGCAGGGACACTCTACGTTGGTGTATGTGTGGGCCACTAGGCAGTATAGGGGGATAAACAGCAGGGACACTCTACGTTGGTGTATGTGTGGGCCACTAGGCAGTATAGGGGGATATACAGCAGGGACACTCTACGTTGGTGTGTGTGTGGGCCACTAGGCACTATAGGGGGATAAACAGCAGGGACACTCTACGTTGGTGTATGTGTGGGCCACTAGGCAGTATAGGGGGATATACAGCAGGGACACTCTACTTTGGTGTATGTGGGTCACTAGGCAGTATAGGGGGATATACAGCAGGGACACTCTACGTTGGTGTATGTGTGGGCCACTAGGCAGCTCTGTCAGTTTGTATTCAGAGACTTGACGGCATCAGGAGCAGAATGGATAATTAGTGTCCTCCATCACTCCAGCCTCATAGGGCCCGGAGAGGGAGAGGAGAGAGGGAGGGGAGGTTAGGAGAGAGGGAGGGGAGGTTAGGAGAGAGGGAGGGGAGGTTAGGAGAGAGGGAGGGGAGGGTAGGAGAGGGGGGAGGGAGGGAGGGTAGGAGAGAGAGGGAGGGAGGGAGGGTAGGAGAGAGAGGGAGAGGGAGAGAGGGAGAGGGAGAGAGAGAGGAAAAAAAAAAAAGGCCATAGTGCCCATTTATAGCCCCCTCTAATAACATGAATGCGTCCCAAATGGCACCATGTTCCCTACATAGTGCACTACTTTTGACCAGAGCCCTATAAAGGGTATAGGGTGTCACTTGGGATGCAGACAACCACTCAGAACATTAGGCCACTCCTCCTTAGCCAGCTGGCTGGCAGGTGGTGTGTCATCCAGCTGTGAAGAGAAAGTGAAGAGTGTTGGGAACAGGATGGCTTTAGAAGGACGGCCACAATGGAGAGGAATTCTAGGAAGACGCTTCCTTCCCCCACCCTCTCCCCATACACCCCCTCCTCTCCCATATCCCCCAAACCAACTCACTTACATGCCAATTAAATATGTATGCCCCTCCCCTTTCTCAAAACACAATAGAAAAACACACCTCCCCCTTACCCCCTTCAGTCTTGTGATGCTCAGTTGAAGTTGAGGCTCACTTAGCTTGAAGACCTATTTCACCAAATGCTGCTAACTCAATCTAGGGTTTTTAGCTCCTGTGAAGAGGCTGTGCTATGACTAGGACCAGCCTGATAATCCATTATCTCCTATGAAGAGATCTCATGGGCTGTGTCCCAAATGGCATCCTGTTCCCAATTGTCCCTGGTCAAAAGTAGTGCACAACATAGGAAATAGGTGCAATTTGGGACGCACACATGTTCATGGGCTTGAATGAAACAAAGCCCGAGCTGTAGAACTCTGTCCTGAAAGGTAGAAAAGCCTTGGCCTAAAGGGTTGCATTAAAACACCATAATCTCATTCGCCTCATGTCTCTCTGTCCACCCCCTTAACCTCTGACCCGGGATTTGTTACTCCCAATAGATGATGTCATTGGTGCTTCCTCTCTGATTGACACCACCACCCTGGTAGTACCCCTCATTCCATTGGTTGAGCTCAGTCCTGCTGAGATGGATCAGGTCATGGACTGTCATTAGGTCCCACCTAGTGAGAAGTTAATTGAACCTAGTGAGAAGTTAATTGAACCTAGTGAGAAGTTAATTGAACCTAGTGAGAAGTTAATTGAACCTAGTGAGAAGTTAATTGAACCTTTTTTTTTATTCTAGTCAGTCACACTATATCAAGGCAGACACTTTTATCCTTAACGTTCTGAGCTTGTGCTCTAACCCCTATATCCACCAGAGGTGCCTCTATGGGGTGACTTCATGATGAGGTCCAACTACTGGCTGTAAAATAGCTGCTGTGTTGGCCTGGGGTCAACAGCCTCTCTCCAGCAGTAGTACTGGAGACAGTCTGAGGTATTTCATTCACCTAACCAACTGGCCTCATACTGAAAGGACTTTGAGAGGTCACTCATCACTTCATCCACTGATATGGAGGAGCGGGGAGTCATTTACACCATAGACTCATGATACCCAGTAGCTTGCTGGTCCCTGGTGCAGAAAGGTTGAGAAACACTAACCTACTGTATCTGTCTGGGAACAATGTGTCACTATTCAAAGGTCTTAACCTGTCAGGACTTAACCTGTGAATAATGTGTCAATGTACCATTCAAAGGTCATGCTACATTTAGTCCCCACACTAAAGCTGTTTCTTAATGATTTACCTGCAGCTGAGCATTGAGAAAGCCCAGGCCATCGCCGAGCAGGTGGAACTGAAGGCCATGGTGGTCCAGTCAGAGGTCAAAGCCATCACACAGCGTCATAAGAAGGCCCTGGAGGAACGAGAGTGTGAGCTGCTGTGGAAAGTAAGTTGGTTTTGTGCGAAGTAGTATCATACAGTACAGTACATTTACACATTCCAGCAGTGTTACAAAACCTTCACCCCTGCCTAACAGGTCTGTGTAACTCTCTTTTATTTATCCCCCCCTCCCTTCTCCTCTCTCTCTCTCTCTCTCTCTCTCTCTCTCTCTCTCTCTCTCTCTCTTTCTCTCTCTCAAGATTGAGAAGATCCGTCAGGTGAAAGCCAAGTCCCTCTATCTCCAGTTAGAGAAGCTGCACCAGAACCTGACCAAGCTGGACAGCACCATTGTTACAGTAGCCCAGGTCCTGGAGAAGGGCAGTAGTCTGGACCTGCTGCTGGCCAGAGAGAGCATACTTATCCAGATCACAGAGCTTAAGGCCCTCAGGGAGCTGTTACTACCACAGGACGATGACCACATCATGTTCACCGCCCCCGACCAGACCCTGCTACTCGCCATCCAGTCCCTGGGTCTGGTCAGCTCTGGGGCCTTCGCCCCCCTCACCAAGGCCCAGGGAGAGGGGCTTTGTCGGGGCTTGCAGGGTAAGCAGGCCTCCTTCACTGTGGTGGGGTATGATCATGATGGAGAGCCCAGGCTGTCTGGGGGGGACGGTGTGTCAGCTGCGGTGATGGCGCCTGATGGTAACCTGCTGAACGCTGAGGTGTCCGACCACCAGAACGGATCGTACACGGTCAGCTACCTGCCCAAGGTAGAGGGAGAACATCTGGTGTCAGTCCTTATCTGCAACCGGCACATCGAAGGCAGCCCCTTTAAAGTGCTGGTAAAGTCTGGCCGCAGCTATGGAGGTATCCCCCTGCCGGTGGACTCGTTCGGCAGGGAGGGGGACGGAGACGGGCAGCTGTGTCGCCCCTGGGGGGTGTGTGTGGACAAAGAGGGCTACATAATTGTAGCTGACCGGAGCAACAACAGGGTGCAGATCTTCAAGCCGTGCGGTTCCTTCCACCACAAGTTTGGTACGCTGGGCTCCAGACCAGGCCAGTTGGACCGACCAGCTGGGGTGGCCTGCGACGGCCAGAGGAGAATCATCGTGGCCGACAAGGACAATCACCGCATCCAGATCTTCACCTTTGAAGGCCAGTTCCTCCTCAAGTTCGGGGAGAAGGGAACCAAGGCCGGTCAGTTCAGCTACCCCTGGGACGTAGCGGTCAGCTCGGAGGGAAAGATCCTCGTCTCAGACACCCGGAACCACCGCATCCAGCTCTTCAGGCAGGACGGCACCTTCCTCAACAAGTACGGCTTCGAAGGGGCTCTATGGAAACACTTTGACTCCCCCAGGGGCGTGGCCTTCACTCAGGAGGGCCACCTGGTGGTGACAGACTTCAACAACCACCGTCTGCTGATCATCCGGTCGGACTGCCAGTCGGCCCGCTTCCTGGGATCAGAGGGAACCGGTAATGGTCAGTTCCTGCGGCCGCAGGGCGTAGCAGTGGACCAGGAGGACCGCATCGTGGTGGCCGACTCCCGGAACCACAGGATCCAGGTGTTCGAAACCAACGGTAACTTCCTATGCAAGTTGGGGACTCAGGGTAGCAGCTTTGGACAGATGGATCGCCCGTCGGGTATAGCTGTTACTCCAGACGGAAGGATTGTTGCCGTGGACTTTGGAAACAACAGAATCCTTATGTTCTAGGCTAGGCAGTTTGTCTGCTGGTTTGCAAAGAAAGAAACATTGAAGAGAAGGAGATTTTTAAACACACCCATCAGATGCAAATGTCTTTGTGAGCAAATGGAGCCAGTAATATTTAAACTTGACCTTTTCTCTCAGTTATTACCTCCTATCTAGCTTGTAAGAGTGGGCTCCCGAGTGGCGCAGCGGTCTAAGGCACTGCATCTCAGTGCTTGAGGCGTCATTACAGACCCCCTGGTTCGATTCCAGGCTGTATCACAACCGGCCGTGATTGTGAGTCCCATAGGGCGGCGCACAATTGGCCCAGCGTCGTCCGGGTTTGGCCGGTGTAGGCCGTCATTGTAAATAAGAATTTGTTCTTAACTGACTTGCCTAGTTAAATAAAGGTTAAATAAAAAGAGCAAATGAATGCAGTACATGAACCAATGCCAACAATGGGTTATTGTCAAAAGCAGTCATTTTTAACCCTATAGTAGGCCTTCTGTGACAGTATCTGGCTCGTTAGTTGTCTTTGCTCCTGATGTGTGCGTCAATCTCGCTCTGATTATTTTTCTCAGGGAATTTCTTGCATTCTTGAAAGATTTCCACTGCATCATACCTACCTCATTCAGCTGTGTATGAATGTACTCCTTTATTATTTGGTGCAGAGATTTAGCCAGTGGAGTTTTGATAAAATAACTACCTCAATGCAAGAGAAAAGTATAGTTAAAATGAAGCACATTTTTGTTGATATTTGCACAGACAGTGCTCACACATTTTATCTAATTGTTACTGTGCACATAAAGCATGTGAAATCCCAGAATGTTGCTGAGAACAAAATATAATAACGACTCAATGCTACATACATATGGAGACAGATATTTTTTATAAACTTACCAACTGTTTTTCCATTAGTTTTTAAATTTGCCTCCATACCTTTTTACCTCATGTCACGACCACATAGTACCTCAGAACTCCAGTGTCCTCAGGTCGGTAGTAATGCTGAGTCCCAAATGGTACCTTATTCCCTATATGCATGGTTGTGCCACCTTTAGCTGCAATGACTCCAACCAAATGCTTCCTGTAGTTGTTGATCAGTCTCTCACGTCGCTGTGGAGGAATTTGGCCCACTCTTCCATGCAGAACTGCTTTAACTCAGTGACGCGTGGGTTTTCAAGCATGAACTGCTCGTTTCAAGTCCTGCCACATCTCAATTGGGATTAGGTCTGGACTTTGACTAGGCCATTCCAAAACTTTCAATTTGTTGCTTTTTAGCAATTTTCATGTAGACTTCATTGTGTGTTTTGGATCATTGTCTTGCTGCATGACCCAGCTGCGCTTCAGCTTCAGCTCACAGACGGATGGTCTGACATTCTCCTGTAGAATTCTCTGACACAGAGCAGAATTCATGGTTCCTTCTATTAAGGCAAGTCGTCCAGGTCCTGAGGCAGCAAAGCATCCCCAAACCATCACACCATCACCACCATGCTTGACCTTTGGTATGATGTTCTTACTGTGGAATGCAGTGTTTGGTTTTCGCCAGGCATAATGGGACACATCTCGTCCAAAAAGTTGACTCAAGTTTGCCAAAAAGCACCTGGATGATCATCAAGACTCTTGGAAGAACGTTCTATGGACAGATGATTCAAAAGTATAACTTTTTGGACGACATGGTTCCAGTAATGCCTGGCGAAAACAAAACTCTGCATTCCACAGTAAGGACATTTATGTCATAAACACCCACACGTCACTGAGTTAAAGCAGTTCTGCATGGAAGAGTGGGCCAAAATTCCTCCACAGCGACGTGAGAGACTTATCAACAACTACAGGAAGCATTTGGTTGGAGTCATTGCAACTAAAGGTGGCACAACCAGTTATTGAGTGTAAGGGGGCAATTACTTTTTCACACAGGGGAATTGGGTGTTGCATAACTTTGTTTATGAAATAAATGAAATAAACATGTAATTGTTGTGTTATTTGTTCACTTATGTTCCTTTTATCTAATATTAGGTTTTGGTTGAAGATCTGATAACATTCCTACTTTTGACAAGAGCCCTATGGACCCTGGTCAAAAATAGTGCACTAAATAGCGAATAGGTTGTAATCTGAGACTCATCCTGTAAGTGGATTCTCTCCACAAAATGGCTGCTGCCAGGTTGCTACAGACAGGTTTAATATTTGATATCAGTGACAAGTGTCAGTTCAGTCAGTCACATGATTTCAGCTTTAAGGGAAAAAACATTTAATCGGGTGAATCATCAGAATTGTTATTTTCTGGGGATCTGTGAAAGAATTATGACTTTTGAAAACTACTGGGAATAATTATTGTTGGGATATATTAATCCTGACATGTATTCATTCATCCAATGAAACTAGTGCATCTGGCCACAACACAGGAAAGATTAGACAATTACTTTGTTAAATGCACACTGGTGCTGGTTAACTTGGATTTAATCCGAACCATGTAGGACTGCTCAGTCTAAATATATTTATTGATATCATTTAGAAATCAAGGAAATCTGTGTAGACTAACTTTCCTAAGAGTAGAGAGCGGTCTCATTCTGATATGTTTGAAGAACAACGTTTCTGCACAAATGTTTGGTAGTTTAGATTGGCACCCTAATGATGTTACGATGTTCCTTTCTTTGTGATCGTTGTTACAAAGTCTAAAGTTGCCTCTGTGCCTCGACTCTGTTCCCATCAAAGAAAGTCAACCGTTTATAATTTTTTTTCCTTCAAAATGGAATGCGTCATTCATGGGAAACCACTCTGAAAGAGAATATTGTCTTATCCTGGTGGCAAATAAAATATTTTTTTTTTTTAAAAGTAGAACTGACAAGTAAATGAAATTAGTGAAAGCATTGATGTTGATCTCTATTGCCTCCATAGTAGTTTCAGTAGATATTCTCCATAGTAACCCCTAGTTGCTTGTCAGTTGCCTGATGACCCACTCATGTAGCCTACATATGACTGAGTAACAAAAGCAAAAGGCGCCACATAATTAGAATCCCCCCATCCCCACATTCACCCTGAGTCCGTATATTCCATTAGACGTTGTAATAAGACAGTTCAGTCAGCACAGCAGTTCCCCTCTATTGGATGTACCTCAATCTGAGAGAACATAACCAAACCAAAATCGTTCATGGTTCCACAGTGGCTATTAACTACAGAACATCAAGAACCAGTAAAAATGCAAATGTTAAAATATAATTTGTGTGTTTTTTTCCACTGTAGCCTGCACTATGTTATAAGCTAGCTGTTCATAGCTATTAATATTGTACTTATAGCATTAACTGTTAAAGCCAAGTCATTGTCTCTCCTCCCTCTGTGTCTCTGACTGCCTCTAATGGGCCAGTATTTCCTGTCTGTTGAGCCACATTGCTAAAGTGCTGGTTTACGAGGAGAGCTCGCCTCTGTCCCAAATGGCACCCTATTCAGTGCACTACTTTTGTCCAGAGCATTATGAGCCCTGGTCAAAAGTAGTGCGCTAAATAGGGAATAGGTTGCCATTTGGCACGCTACCCTCCTCTGTGAGTTGGTGAGGCACCATGGCTGCAGGCCTCCAGCTGCTCTAACCACCAGAAGAGCTGGCAGGCAGCCTCCCAGACACACCTCATATCTCTCTTACCTTAATAATCCCAGCTGGGTGTACAGGGGGACCAGTGAGACATTGGGCTCCAGACACAGCTTACTCGGTTATATCCTCTTAAAGATTGAACCAAAATGGCAATTTTTAGATATTGAGTTTCAGTAGATTTATTCATATTGACACTGTTCCGGTGTTTTATCTTGTGCCTTTTGTTATATCAGGAGATAAATTACACTATGTTTCTGGGCCAATTTGTAACCAGCAGGAAAGGCATTGTGCCAAAAAACTGTGTAAAGTAAAAAATAAAAATACAACTCTTATAGAAATGTTTTACTTTTTTTAAATTGCTCACTATTATTTAGTTGATCAGTATTTAATATTGTCCTTGCTGGTGAGACCCCTGGAATATACTGTATTCCTCATATACAGACTGATATAGGTATATATGTACACCATTACCTCATTGCTGAACTGTTAATACCTCGTTGGCACAGTTGCATTTTTCAAACCTCTAGTTGAATTGCAGTTAGACGTCGGCTTATAGTGTGCTGTTGTTGCATCACTTAATGGCTAGAGAATGGAAAGGGAAGGCTTGGAGAAGTTATGAACAGTTTGATCGAGTAGATTAAACCGAGGACAATGCTGCTTCAAATCCCACTGATCTGATGTATTTTAAGTACATTGTTGGTTCCTATATTGTTCCTATAGTTTGAACTTAAGTTTGCCAGTGAAAGTTTCTTGAAAGACCTCGAGGTCTTGACACTATAAGAAGACAAGACTTGAATATTTTAATTTTAATGCATGATTCAAAAAGTAATTGTAAAGATTTGTCACTGCTTTTTAAAACCAGTGACACTATAACTGTATATACCCCTAAAATAATTGCATGTTAGGTTGAGGAGGACGGCTTCCATTGACTATAAGATTGTATCTTTTATGAATAGCTTTACTGGGCCCAATCAAGTTACCTCATCATATTGTCAAGCAACAACAAAGTTCAAACAGAAATCCATTTGACGTAAATGTGCCCTTGAGCAAGGCACTTAACCCTAATTGCTCCTGTAAGTCGCTCTGGATAAGAGCGTCTGCTAAATGACTAAAATGTAAATGTAAATGTAAGTATTTCAGTATTTTATTAGGATCCCCATTAGCTACTGCTAAAGCAGTACTTAACACTATACTAGGAAGGATGTTCAACATGTACTCTGTCTATACTTCCACAGTTGGAAGTATCACAATGAATCAAGAAAACTACCAAAGAGCTTAAAGTAAAGGTAACCTTTGTTGAACTTTGTTAGTCACCCGGTTCTGTATCTGCTGTTTGTTTTTTATTGTCGGGTTGCAAAATTCTGGTGACTTCCCAGGTTTTCAAGAATTCCAGGTTGGAGGATTCCGGAATCAGAGGGGATAAAGAGGGAGGGAATCTTCCAAATGGGATTTCTGGGAAAGTTATTTTGCAACCCTAGCTGGAAGTATAATTTGGGCTCCATTCAATCCGTATCACGTAAATAGAGAGATTAAAGGCAATGTACCCGCATTTCGGAGACTGCATTCACGGTAAACGCTGCATATGTCGACTCAATCAGAAATGACCTTTTACATTTTAATCGCGCTATAGCGCTGAACTTCTTCGATACATATTGAATCGAGCCTCAGTCAATCCTAACTATTAGAAATGCTCTGTGTTCAGTGCACTGTCAACCACAGTAACGTATCTGGTTGAGCAGTATGGGAGGATTCCAGCATTAGTACTGTTCCTCTCATGGAGATTAACAAGAGAAGCTGTTCATAAGAACATGGTCTTAGACTAATGTGATCATTTTGTCAATATAAGGTGAACTCCAGTAGATACAATGCTAGTGTTCCACGTTTTGAAAGCAACTCTCAATACCTCAAAATAAGTAGCATTTACCTCTTCTGTTGATTATAACTTGAGCCATCCAAATATATATGTTGTTGAAATTACATAAGATCAAACTTTAAATGCTTAATCAGTTAATTTTGGCAAAAAAAAAGATTGAATATGAATGTGGGAGTGGACTCAATCTAGCAGATTTGTTTTACTTTTTCAATGTATCATTTTTGTTGGGGTGTGTCTTATATGTGGGTGATTTTCATTTTTCCAGAGACCAACAAAAAATATCCTATATTGTGGCAGCAATTCTATGCTGTTGTGAAATATACATTATACTGTCAGATGTCTCTGATCCTTAGTCCCAGTCATGCCATTTGAGCGTGGTAAACAGTAATGGGAATGGGGTATATTATTCACTTATTGTTTGATACTTCTTAGGCCATTTACTCTGGAATTGTGTTAAACCAAAAAAAATCAGCTGCATGTCTCTTTCACTGTGTATGAAAACTTTCAGGGATCGTTTGACCCTTTTTGTGGTGTTTATATAGTGCGGAAGGATACTGTGTGGATTCCAGGATGGGGTTTTACTTATGTGTTTGAAAGGGATAGCAGAACTCTAAAAGAGTTCCATTACTCCCTCCTTCCCTATACCCTCCTCTCTTGACTGGTTGGTTTGAGTCCCAAATGGCACCCTATTCCCTATAGCACAGGTGTTAAACTCATTCCACGGAGGGCCGAGTGGCTGCGTGTTTTCACTCCTCCCTTGTACTTGATTGATGAATTAAGGTCACTAGTAAGGAGCGACTTACAGTAGTGAGTGCATACTTTTTTTTGTACTGGTCCCCTGTGGGAATCTATCCAACAACCCTGGCGTTGCAAGAGTCATGCTCTACCAACTGAGCCAAACTAGACAACCCAAGCCAGACCTGGGTTGTCTAGGTCTTGAGAGGGAAAAACCAAAAACCTGCAGACACTAGACCCTCCATGGAATGAGTTTGATACACCTTCCCTATAGAGTGCACTACTTTTGACTAGAGTCCTATCAAAAGTAGTGCACTATATAGGGACTAGGGTGCCATTTGGAGCATAACAAGAAGCATTCTGAATGGAGGTCAGGTGACTGCTGTTAACCTGCTGTGTTCTTCACTGGTCTAAATGGACTTTAAACATTTCCTATGCAGTTTGGGATTTCCCTGTTTACGCCTCAATAAATGTGATTCTTGTATCCAACATCCATTTCCAAATCCATCTTTTGTTGAGTCCACTATTATTCAGGCACAGTAGAATACCAAGAGGTGAGGGCAGTGATCAGGTAAGGCCATTAGTTTTTACAAGTGAGGAGTATTCAGTCTGTCAGCAGTGAAGGGGAGGAGCTTTAAGAAGTCACACCCCAGTTCTCACCTGATTTAATTAAGGTACATTTACATTTTAGTCATTTAGCAGACGCTCTTATCCAGCGCGACTTACAGTTAGTGAGTGCATACATCAATGACTAATGCACTCCTAAGTAGTCCCTAGTAATCCTCATGACATGGCCCAAGTGGGGGGGGGTGGACCTTTCCTCTTTTGTTCTCTATTGCTCCTCAAGCAAGGGGGGAGGCCGATGACATCATCAGACCAACTCCTGGAATTCCTACTCCATGAAATTTGCATGTAAAAAAGAAAACAGTTTTTTCCCCCTTTTATTCATACATGGGATATTGGGACATGGGATATTGTTTTTCAACAGGAAAAGTTCAATAGCTGGAGTGTGTCTAAATAGCACCCTATTCCAAACGTGATGGGCCCTGGTCAATCAAGTGTTGGACTATATACAGGGAGGGAAAAAAGTATTTGATCCCCTGCTGATTTTGTACGTTTGCCCACTGACAAAGAAATGATCAGTCTATAATTTTAATGGTAGGTTTATTTGAACAGTGAGAGACAGAATAACAACAAAAAAATCCAGAAAAACATGTCAAAAATGTTATAAATTGATTTGCATTTTAATGAGGGAAATAAGTATTTGACCCCTCTGCAAAACATGACTTAGTACTTGGTGGCAAAACCCTTGTTGGCAATCACAGAGGTCAGACGTTTCTTGTAGTTGGCCACCAGGTTTGCACACATCTCAGGAGGGATTTTGTCCCACTCCTCTTTGCAGATCTTAAGGTTTCGGGCTGACGTTTGGCAACTCGAACCTTCAGCTCTCTCCACAGATTTTCTATGGGATTAAGGTCTGGAGACTGGCTAGGCCACTCCAGGACCTTAATGTGCTTCTTCTTGAGCCACTCCTTTGTTGCCTTGGCCGTGTGTTTTGGGTCATTGTCATGCTGTAATACCCATCCACAACCCATTTTCAATGCCCTGGCTGAGGGAAGGAGGTTCTCACCCAAGATTTGACGGTACATGGCGCCGTCCATCGTCCCTTTGATGCGGTGAAGTTGTCCTGTCCCCTTAGCAGAAAAACACCCCCAAAGCATAATGTTTCCACCTCCATGTTTGACGGTGAGGATGGTGTTCTTGGGGTCATAGGCAGTAATCCTCCTCCTCCAAACACGGCGAGTTGAGTTGATGCCAAAGAGCTCGATTTTGGTCTCATCTGACCACAACACTTTCACCCAGTTCTCCTCTGAATCATTCAGATGTTCATTGGCAAACTTCAGACGGCCCTGTATATGTGCTTTCTTGAGCAGGGGGACCTTGCGGGCGCTGCAGGATTTCAGTCCTTCACGGCGTAGTGTGTTACCAATTGTTTTCTTGGTGACTATGGTCCCAGCTGCCTTGAGATCATTGACAAGATCCTCCCGTGTAGTTCTGGGCTGATTCCTCACCGTTCTCATGATCATTGCAACTCCACGAGGTGAGATCTTGCATGGAGCCCCAGGCCGAGGGAGATTGACAGTTATTTAGTTTTTCTTCCATTTGCGAATAAATCGCACCAACTGTTGTCACCTTCTCACCAAGCTGCTTGGCAATGGTCTTGTAGCCCATTCCAGCCTTGTGTAGGTCTACAAGCTTGTCCCTGACATCCTTGGAGAGCTCTTTGGTCTTGGCCATGGTGGAGAGTTTGGAATCTGATTGATTGATTGCTTCTGTGGACAGGTGTCTTATATACAGGGGGGGGTGGACCTTTTCCCTTTTGTTCTCATTCAAGCACGGGGGAGCCAATATCATCAACCAAACAAATTCCTATATGAAATTTGAATTGCCAACGTTTTTTGACCTTGTGTGTATTCATGCCTGTATTCATACAGAATTGTTTTTAAAGAAAAGTTTAGTTTGTGAAATTCCTCAAATCAAGGGGTCCAATCGTGTTCATTTACATAATAGGGAACCAATTTGGGACGTGTACCAGGTTTTAGTTGTGTTCCTTGTACCCTCATTTAAAAGGACAGCCAGCCACCTCTCCTTGAAGCCAGCTCTAAATCCCTCCCCCCACACACAAAAAACACATTCCTCCTCGGACATAACAGTAGCACAACTCCAATTCATTCTCCCTCAAGGGTCCTTTGAACAATGATTTCAGACCCAACCACCATATAAAATTCAAGTCAGCTTATTTCTGTAAATAAAATTTATTTTTATACAGGTATTTAACTTGCCCCAAGCGGAAGTCGGTCAGTATATATTATAACGGATGTTTCTGTCACAAATGGAAAGTTAAAACTCAAAGAACAGAGAAATGATGTCAGATCTGCTCCAAAGACACTGCAGGTGATGAAAGCCCCCCTCCTCTCACCATAACCACACTGAATAAAGGCTCTGTCCCAAATGGCACCCAATATATAGTGCAATACTTTTTTAGGGCCCTGGTCAAAAGGAGTGCACTATATAGGGGATAAGGTGTAATTTGGAACGCAACCGTCGTCCACCCGACAGGAAACCACTGCACTTCATACCAGGAGGACCTGGAGGGCTCCGTCTGGTGAAGTTTCCTCTAGGTACAGATCTAGGATCAGCTTCCTAGCCTTCCAATCCTAGCCTTAACCATTAGTGGGGGAAATGCAAAGCTGACCGAAGATCAGCATCTAGGGACAACTTCACCGGCGCTGAGTGGGGTCAGCTTGCCTTAAATAAATAATACACTGAGGTGAAGTGATAAGACGGGTCGACAGGTACATGTTGGTGTGCAATGGGGCAAGGAGGGTTAGGGGAACCAAGGGTTGAGGGCTCATTTGCGCTGGACTGTTGTGAAGGGTGAGGGCATCTGGATGGGTGGTTGGACAGGCTGGAAGGAGGAGGGAACAGGCTTCTTTCGTGTGTCTGGAGAGGGCGTCTGGAGCACTGAGGGGAGGAGCTGGTTACGTTTGATGATTTGCAGGGCGAGCTGTGTGTTCCCTGAGGTGAGGGGGGGGAGGGGGTGAGGGGGGGAGGGGGTGAGGGGGGGAGAGAGAGAGAGAGGAACAAAGAGAGAAAGAGCGAGGAGGAGAGAGAGGAACAGAGATCATACACAGCTCTTAGTAAGGTCATAAAGTCCTGACCCTTCTACATTGATCCACCCATTGGACAGAAGGGGACTGACTGCTGTAATCTGTCACCACTGCCTTTGTGTCAGCCTGTGGCCTTCAGCATTCTACCTGCTGAATTCTAGAAGTGGAATGTCAGAGTTTGACTGACATCAGCCCCAGCACTTCCTTGAAAAACCACCATACTATGCTAGAGAACAATGGATTCTTCTTGACTATCAAAGTAATAAAGACAACTGTCAGAAGAGGAAAGGACCAACTACAAGATTGGGAAACCTGATGCGCCCACTTCACAACTTTGCAGATCGGAATGAGAACCCAGAGAGATGTAGCTGACTCACCGTTCTGCAGCTCGAGGTAGACAGCCAGTAAGATGGCTTCAGGAGGAATCTCCTTCGTGTTCACCATGGAGGCCGCCTGGGAGAGAGGTAAACAGGTCACACAGACATACTACACACATCTAAACAGTCATGTTTGGGACAATAACACATCTGAATGGTTTCAAGAGATACGCATGTACTGTAGCTCTGTGTGTGTGTATGTGGGGGCACGTGTCTACGAGTGTGTACCGTACCTGATGCAGGCACTTGCGGGCCTTCTCATACTCGCTCCTCAGACAGTAGGCACTGCCCAGGTTGAAGAGCATTATGGCCCGGGCTGAGCTCACTGTGCTGGGGTAACACAGAGGAGTCTGCTTCCCTGCTGTATGGACACACAACAAACCCTGTCAACAGAGGAGTCTGCTTCCCTGCTGTATGGACACACAACAAACCCTGTCAACAGAGGAGTCTGCTTCCCTGGCTGTAGGACTAGGGTTGAATAGTGGGAACCGGGTTACCGAGATTTCCCGCCCAAACCCACTCCCTTTTCCTGGGATGAATAACTGCGGGAAACCGGTAAATTATAATAAATGATTTATATGAACAGCCTGACATTTAAATGGAACTTAAATTATATGCAATGTCTAAATCTGGCTTCTCTGCAGGCCACGGCCTACTCTGCTATCTGCATGATGACAGACAGCGCATCTCAGTATGGAGCCATCCGCATGATGACAGACAGCGCATCTCAGTATGGAGCCATCCGCATGAAGACAGACAGCGCATCTCAGTATGGAGCCATCCGCATGATGACAGACATCGCATCTCAGTATGGAGCCATCCGCATGATGACAGACATCGCATCTCAGTATGGAGCCATCCGCATGAAGACAGACAGCGCATCTCAGTATGGAGCCATCCGCATGATGACAGACAGCGCATCTCAGTATGGAGCCATCCGCATGATGACAGACAGCGCATCTCAGTATGGAGCCATCCGCATGATGACAGACAGCGCATCTCAGTATGGAGCCATCCGCATGATGACAGACAGCGCATCTCAGTATGGAGCCATCCGCATGATGACAGACAGCGCATCTCAGTATGGAGCCATCCGCAAGATGACAGACAGCGCATCTCAGTATGGAGCCATCCGCATGATGACAGACAGCCCATCTCAGTATGGAGCCATCTGCATGATGACTGACAGCACATCTCAGTATGGAGCCATCTGCATGATGACTGACAGCACATCTCAGTATGGAGCGCAGTTCACAATGCACGTATTATCTCATCATGTTTTCTTATTGTGACAGGTAGGACTACATTTGCTACAGCATAGCCTATGCTACAGTAATATAAAGACCGAATGCGTATCTAATTTACCCATCTCCATCTGGCTTTCGGGGGTTACCATACTTTTTCTTTGTAAAGATGCATTTTTTTAAAATGTAGCTGCAGAGTTTTAAAACAGCCCATCACTCGAATATCGCTGCTTTAAAATCAGTGTGCACGCGAGCATGCTCACACTGTCTATCAATTCCATCCAAAATAGATAGGTCTAATCCTGTTCAAGACTGAGATACGTGTGTGTGTGTGTGTGTATATATATACACAGACAGAGATATAGATGTCCTAGCTTACCTCTTTCAGGTAATAAATTCAATGCAGTATTAGCTTTACATTTAACTAACGAATGATGGGTTATCCATAAGCTTCTAACGTATAGCCTCCGTCTCTTGCTCAACACGCCCCTTGGCTTTTGCTGTCCCAGAAAAGGCTAGACTAGAATAGCTTGGACATTATTTCAAGCATTTCTTATACTAATAGGCTATTGGAAGAGGGATGCAAGCTCGTCTGCTTCCCTGCTGTATGAACACAACACAGCCTCTCTGGACAGCTTTAAAAATAAAGTTAAAAACTGTTTGATGTGTTCTGTGCCCATACGAATGTTCCTTACGATGTAACTGCAATGATGACAGATATTCTTCTTCGTTGTTTTTATGTTGTATTATCTCTCTGTCATACCATGTGAAACCCTGTTGGATCTTGCACAGCCATCTTGTCTCAAGAGGAACACAATGGAAAGAAGTCCCAGACTGTGTTATACAACATGATTTTACTCATGTACATGTATGGCTTTTTATTTTTATGGTCTAATTAATCAACTAAACCCTGTCAGAGGAGTCAGCTTCCCTGCTGTATGGACACACAATACACTGTCATCCCATGAACCATCGCGGGATGAACCATTGCGGGATGTCACCACATACATACTTTAGATGGGGTGTCTCTACAGAGACTGCAGGGAGTGTGTTCAGTGAAAATAGTGTGTGTGGGGTTGTGTGTGTGTGTGTGTGTGTAGACTCACATGACTCGACAGGCTCCAGATCCCCTTTATCTGACCCTGTGAACACCAACACACTATCAGACACTGATCTGATCCAGTCATCATGTGGTTACATAGATAGTTCATTTCAGTTAGGGCAGAATACTGGGTGGGGTGCTGGGTTTTCCAGCAAAGCCTTCAATTGGCACTAGAGAGGTGGGTGTGAGGACTAACCTTGGTCCTGCTCGCTGGACAACACCCCCAGGGAGACATCAGTGACGTTCTCTGGGTTGAGGTGAGCGATGGCCTCTGAGATCCGGTCTAGGGATATGAGGGCCTCTGCAGCATACAGGTGGCCCAGGAACCTGAAGCAGAGAGCGAGAGAGAGACAGGGAGGACGCACGGTCCAACACATAGAATCAGATCAACCATTGACTCACTACTACTGGGGCTTGTTCATGGGGATGTGACGTTACAGAACATAGTATATAGCATATAGGATTATGTCTAGACTATAATTTCAAACTTCAATTGATAGGCTGGGAGTTCATTTGCTTAAATCACTGAACACAACAGGCGCTTCTTAGAGACAGGCTTCTTTTCCTTGACAATTATTCTCCACTATGACTGTGCATTTTCAGCAGTTCTTACTTTCGCCACTAGAGGTGCGATCAGACGATTTCTAGTGTTCTGTACTCCCGAAGTTGTTGACTGTTTTTGTGCTTGCCAGTTAGCTAGAAGTTATTAATTGTTAGCAGCCAATGGGTAACAGTTTCTTACTGGTGATAAAAATGGATGATTGCCATAATTTTTTCACGTTATTACTGAATTATTTAATGTTGCAAATCAAACCTCGTAAACAATTCATGCTAATCTCAAAGTTTATTTGCTTTAAAGTCTGCTGTTGCCCGGCTATTAAAAAGGGACTGGTGGCTATTTGAGACTGAGTTTTACGGTATGTACAGGTGCGACCAAATATATTAGCACCCCTGCACTTTTCTTAAATAATTCCCCTATTCTCAAATAAGTTTACTTATTTATTTTTTTAATGTTGGTTTCCATACTTTGTTATTGGATTTTCAACATTCAACATTCCAATTTTAGTTTTGTAAACTTAAGCCAAGATAAATGTACAATTTTAATTGATAAAATAAAGACAAATGGCATGGACAAAATGATTGGCACCCCGGAACTATAACTTGCTTGCACAACCTTTAGCCAAGATAACTGCAGACAAATGCTTCTTGTAGCCATCAATAAGCTTGCTACACCTTTCTACTGACTATTTGGCCCACTTTTCAGCAGCAAACTTCTCTAATTCTTTAATGTGAGGGGTGCCATCCACCAAACTGCTGTTTTCAGATCTCACCATAGGTTATGGATGCACATGGTGTAACAAGGTGTGGTGACCAAAAGTTGATTTACATTTCAACTTATTTTAGAAAAAAATAGGGAATTATTTAAGAAAAGTGCCAATATATTTGGCCGCAACCGTGTATCCATTGTAAATGTTGCATCAGTCATTCCCCTAGATGACTTAACAAAAGTCCTCCAAAGCTATATCCAGGCCCTCTGGCACCAAAATCATCCATTGAAACAAATAGAAGGTGGGGGGGTTCTGCATAGACAATGGTAAGAGAAACACTGCATTGAATCTTGCTGGATAACCCCCCCCTGGTCTGTCAATAACCCTCCACATTCTGTGGTGAGGAGGACAGCAGTGCAGTCCAAGGAAGGAGGAGGGACTGATGGGAAGTCTGTGGTCAGATACTTTCATCAAATCATCTGAGTCATGAAGCAGTCTGAATAGTCAAGAGGTCTGCTATGGCAACATTACCATTACCAGACGGTGTGTCATGTTACGTGCCGTAAGCTTTGGGGGGGGGGGGGGGGGATGAAAGGCTAGGGGGAAAAGGGGGAGTGAGGAATGAAAGGGGAAAAGGGGGAGAGGAATCAAAGGCTAGGGGGAAAAGGGGGAGTGAGGGATGGATAGAGAGAGAGCGAGAGATGGATAGAGAGAGGGAGAGAGATGGACAGAGAGAGAGAGAGATGGACAGAGAGATGGATAGAGAGAGGGAGGGGGGACGGATAGAGGGAGGGAGGGATGAAGTCCTTACTTGAGGGATATTGAGGGACTTGATGGAGGGTAAAGGAGGAGAGTGGGGGAGATTCACAAAATGGGACAAACACCAAATTGAGACTGCATGCAGTATTCTGCAAAAATATCCTCCGTGTACAATGTAAAACACCAAATAATGCATACAGAGCAGAATTAGGCCGTCACCCGCTAATTATCAAAATCCAGAAAAGAGCCATTAAATTCAACAACCACCTAAAAGGAAGCGATTCTCAAACCTTCCATAACAAAGCCATCACCTACAGAGACATTAACCTGGAGAAGAGTCCCCTAAGCTAGCTGGTCCTGGGGCTCTGTTCACAAACAGACCCCACAGAGCCCCAGGACAGCAACACAATTAGACCCAACCAAATCATGAGAAAACAAAAAGATAATTACTTGACATATTGGAAATAATTTTTAAAAAACTGCGCAAACTGGAATGCTATTTGGCCCTAAACAGAGAGTACACAGTGGCAGAATACCTGACCACTGTGACTGACCCAAACTTAAGGAAAGCTTTGACTATGTACAGACTCAGTGAGCATAGCCTTGCTATTGAGAAAGGCCGCCGTAGGCAGACCTGGCTGTCAAGAGAAGACAGGCTATGTGCACACTGCCCACAAAATGAGGTGGAAACTGAGCTGCACATCCTAACCTCCTGCCAAATGTATGACCATATTAGAGAAACATATTTCCCTCAGATTACACAGACCCACAAAGAATTTGAAAACAAAGCTAATTTTGATAAACTCCCATATTTACATTTACATTTTAGTCATTTAGCAGACGCTCTTATCCAGAGCGACTTACAGTTAGTGAGTGCATACATAATTTTTTTATTTTTCATACTGGCCCCCCGTGGGAATCGAACCCACAACCCTGGCGTTGCAAACGCCATGCTCTACATCCCTGCCGGCCATTCCCTCCCCTACCCTGGACGACGCTGGGCCAATTGTGCGCCGCCCCATGGGTCTCCCGGTCGCGGCCGGCTATGACAGAGCCTGGATATATAGCCATATCTATTGAGTGAAATACCAGTGTGCCATCACAGCAACAAGATGTGTGACCTGTTGCCACAAGAAAAGGACAACCAGTAAAGAACAAACTCTGTAATAAACCATATTTATGGTTATTTATTTTCCCTTTTGTACTTTAACTATTTGCACATCATTATAACACTGTACATAGCCATAATATGACATTTTAAATGTCTATTCTTTTTGAACTTTTGTGAGTGTAATGTTTACTGTTCATTTTGATTGTTTATTTCACTTTTGTTTATTCTCTATTTCACTTGCTTTGGCAACGTTAACATATGTTTCCCATGCCAATAAAGCCCTTACATTGAAATGGAGATAGAGAGAGTGATGAAGTCCTTACTTGAGTGATCCAGACAGCTTGGTCTGGTGAAGGAGCTTCTCTGCATGGTTCAGGGCCATCAGGTTGTCTCCTAACGCCAGGGCCACGTAGGCACTGCAGGCCAGGAGGGAACACCTAGAGAGCCAACACCACACAGGAATACCCATTCAGCCCAGACAGGACAACACATGACAGGTCACATCAACCATGCAGTGGGAAACATAGTGGGTTGTATAACATTCAGATGTGGGAGAAATTAATTATATATTGAAATTAATACTAATTAAACAATTCATTCAATTATTTTTGTTAGTGAAAAAAAATGTGCAGGCGGGGAGAGTCTGGACTGTAGTGGGTGTGTCCCTCCCAGGTCTCTCACTGGTTGGCTGGCTGGGCCACAACTGAACAGACTCAGATTCCAGGAAATAAACCAGAGTAGTTGACGGGATACCCGTAAACTTTCCCGGTGGGGTCAGCCCTTCATTCAGCACCTCCTCTATAGCTCTACCCCCTCCCGAACTCTCCCAACGAAAAGTGAAAGGAATGAGGGAAAGCTTTGTCCAATTAGTCCATAGAAGAGAAACACAGGAGGACCAGAGAGGGCAACAGAGAAATGGAGAAAGAAAGAAGAGAGGAGGAGGAGAGTGATATATGAGTCCTGAGAGGCATAGGAAGGAGGGAGATGAGAAGGAGGAGGAAGTGATATATGAGTCCTGAGAGCAAGGAAGGAGGGAGGAGGAGGGTGAGATATGAGTCCTGAGAGGCATAGGAAGGAGAGGAGGAGGGGGAGAGGATATGAGTCCTGATATGCATGAGGATTGAGAGGGAGAGGAGAGTGATTATCTAATATAGAGGAGGAGAGGAGAGGAGGAGGAGAGTGATATGAGTCCTGAGAGGCATAGGAAGGAGGGAGATGAGAAGGAGGAGGAGAGTGATATATGAGTCCTGAGAGGCATAGGAAGGAGGGAGAGGAGGAGAAGGAGAGTGATATGAGTCCTGAGAGGCATAGGAAGGAGGGAGATGAGAAGGAGGAGGAGAGTGATATATGAGTCCTGATAGGCATAGGAAGGAGGGAGAGGAGAAGGAGGAGGAGAGTGATATGAGTCCTGAGAGGCATAGGAAGGAGGGAGATGAGAAGGAGGAGGAGAGTGATATATGAGTCCTGAGAGGCATAGGAAGGAGGGAGAGGAGGAGAAGGAGGAGGAGAGTGATATGAGTCCTGAGAGGCATAGGAAGGAGGGAGATGAGAAGGAGGAGGAGAGTGATATATGAGTCCTGATAGGCATAGGAAGGAGGGAGAGGAGAGGAGAAGGAGGAGGAGAGTGATATGAGTCCTGAGAGGCATAGGAAGGAGGGAGATGAGAAGGAGGAGGAGAGTGATATATGAGTCCTGAGAGGCATAGGAAGGAGGGAGAGGAGAAGGAGGAGGAGAGTGATATATGAGTCCTGAGAGGCATAGGAAGGAGGGAGAGGAGAAGGAGGAGGAGAGTGATATATGAGTCCTGAGAGGCATAGGAAGGAGGGAGAGGAGAAGGAGGAGGAGGGTGATATATGAGTCCTGAAAGGCATAGGAAGGAGGGAGAGGAGAAGGAGTGATATATAAGTCCTGAGAGGCATAGGAAGGAGGGAGAGGAGGAGGAGAGTGATATATGAGTCCTGAGAGGCATAGGAAGGAGGGAGAGGAGGAGAGTGATATATGAATCCTGAGAGGCATAGGAAGGAGGGAGAGGAGGGGGAGAGTGATATATGAGTCCTGAGAGGCATAGGAAGGAGGGCGAGGAGGAGAAGGAGGAGAGTGATATATGAGTCCTGAGAGGCATAGGAAGGAGGGAGAGAGTGATATATGAGTCCTGAAAGGCATAGGAAGGAGGGAGAGGAGGAGAGTGATATGAGTCCTGAGAGGCATAGGAAGGAGGGAGAGGAGAAGGAGGAGTGATATATGAGTCCTGCGAGGCATAGGAAGGAGGGAGAGGAGGAGGAGAGTGATATATGAGTCCTGAGAGGCATAGGAAGGAGGGAGAGGAGAAGGAGGAGGAGAGTGATATATGAGTCCTGAGAGGCATAGGAAGGAGGGAGAGGAGGAGAAGGAGGAGGAGAGTGATATGAGTCCTGAGAGGCATAGGAAGGAGGGAGATGAGAAGGAGGAGGAGAGTGATATATGAGTCCTGATAGGCATAGGAAGGAGGGAGAGGAGAAGGAGGAGGAGAGTGATATGAGTCCTGAGAGGCATAGGAAGGAGGGAGATGAGAAGGAGGAGGAGAGTGATATATGAGTCCTGAGAGGCATAGGAAGGAGGGGGAGGAGAGTGATATATGAGTCCTGAGAGGCACAGGAAGGAGGGAGAGGAGGAGGAGAGTGATATGGAGTCCTGAGAGGCATAGGAAGGAGGGAGAGGAGAAGGAGGAGGAGAGTGATATATGAGTCCTGAAAGGAAGGAGGGAGAGGAGGGGAGAGTGATATTGAGTCCTGAGAGGCATAGGAAGGAGGAGGGGAGAGAGGAGGAAGAGGATAGAGCTGGAAGAGGCAGAGGAAGGGGGAGGAGGAAGGAGAGGGGAGTGATAGAGAGGGAGGAGGAGGAGGGAGGAGTAGGAGCAGGAGGGGGAGGTAGATATAGAGTGAAGGAAGGAAGAGGGAGAGGAGAGGAAGAGAGGAAGGGAGGAGGGAAGGGAGGAGGTGATGTATGATGGAGAGGAGGGGGAGGGGGAGAGGGGAAGAGAGTGATTATGGACCTGAGAGGAGAAGGAGGGAGGAGGAGGAGAGGGTAAGACCTGGAGGCATAGGGAAGGAGGGGAGGAGGGAGGAGAGTGATATAGAGTCCGGAGAGCATAGGAGGGGAGGAGAGGAGGGAGAGAGGCTATATGAGTCCTGAGGAGGAGAGGAGAGGGGAGGAGGGAATGAGTCGAGAGGAGGAAGGAGGAGAGGTGAGAGGATATGGGGTCGGAGGAGGAGAGGGAGGGGAGGAGGTGATATATGAGTCCTGAGAGGCAAGGGGAGGAGGGGGGAGAGGAGAGGAGGAGAGTGATAATGAGTCCTGGGGAGGGAGGAAGGAGAGTGAGAGGAGAGGAGAGTGATATATGATCGGAGGCCTGGAGGAGGGAATGAAGGAGGGAGAGGAGGAGAGGGAGTGATAGGATGAGGCCTGGAGAGGATAGGAAGGTGAGGGGGAGGAGGAGGAGAGGAGGAGGGGAGGGATAGGATGAGAGGAGGGGGGGAGGGATAATGAGTCCAAGGAGGAGGGGAGGGGGAGGAGGGAGTGATATAATGAGGTAGGAAAGGGGGGAAGGGAAGGAGGAGGGGGATAGGAAGGAAGAGGGGAGGAGGGGAGATTAGACGAGGGATAGGAAGGAGGGGAGGTGAATAGTTAGAGGATATGAGCGGAGAGGCATAGGAAGGGAGGGAGAGGGAAGGAGGATAGGAATGAGATAGGGGAGCCGTGAGAGGATAGGAGGAGGGAGAGGAGGAGGAGGAGAGGAGGAGATAATGAGTCCTGAAGGCATAGAAGGAGGAGGAGAAGGAGGGGAGTGAGTGATATTGAGTCCTGAGAAGATAGGAAGGAGGGGGGAGGAGTGGAAGGATGGAATGAGAGGGCTAGGAGGAAGTGAAGAGGAAGGAGGGAGAGGGGAGGAGGGAGGAGTGATATATGAGTCCTGAGAGGCATTAGGAAGGAGGGAGAGGAGGGGAGAGGATTGAAGTCTGAGAGGCTATGGAGAGGAGAGGGATGTAGAGGTCATGAGGAGGAGAAAGAGGAGGGGAGGAGGGATGGATATGATCCTGAGAGGAGAGGAGGGGAGGAGAGGAGATAGAAGGAGCGAGGGAAGGAGGAGGGAGGAGTATGATAGGAGTCATGAAAGGCATGAGGAGGAAGGAGGAGGAGGAAGGAGGAGAGATATATGGTCCTGAGAAGCATAGGAAGGAGGGAGGAGGAGGAGGAGAGGAATATGAATCTGAGAGGCATAGGAAGGGGAGAGGAGGGAGAGAGTGATATATGAGTCCTGAGAGGAATGGGAAGGAGGGAGAGGAGGGGGAGGAGTGATATATGAGTCCTGAGAGGCATAGGAAGGAGGGAGAGGAGGAGAGAGAGTGATATATGAGTCCTGAGAGGCATAGGAAGGAGGGGGGAGAGGTGATATATGAGTCCTGAGAGGCACGGGAAGGAGGAGAGGAGGGGGAGAGTGATGATACGAGTCTGAGAGGCATAGGAACGGAGGGCGAGGGGGAGGAGGAGGAAGAGAGTGATATATGAATCCTGAGAGGCATAGGAAGGAGGGAGAGGAGGAGAGTGATATATGAGTCCTGAGAGGCATAGGAAGGAGGGAGAGGAGGGGGAGAGTGATATATGAGTCCTGAAGGCATAGGAAGGAGGGCGAGGAGGAGGAGGAGGAGAGTGATATATGAGTCCTGAGAGGCATAGGAAGGAGGGAGAGGAGGGGAGAGTGATATATGAGTCCTGAGAGGCATAGGAAGGAGGGAGAGGAGAAGGAGAGTGATATATGAGTCCTGAGAGGCATAGGAAGGAGGGAGAGGAGAAGGAGGAGAGTGATATATGAGTCCTGGGAGGCATAGGAAGGAGGGAGAGGAGGAGGAGAGGAATACGAGTCCTGAGAGGCATAGGAAGAGGGAGGAGAGTGATTAGAGTCTGAGAGGCATAGGAAGGAGGGGGAGGAGGCGAAGGAGGAGAGTGATATGAGTCCTGAGAGCATAGGAAGGAGGGAGAGGGAGGGGGAGAGTGATATATGAGTCCTAGAGGCTAGGAAGGAGGGAGAGGAGGGAGAGTGATAGTATGAGTCTGAGAGGCATAGGAAGGAGGGAGAGGAGGAGGAGGAGAGTGATATTGAGTCCTGAGGGCATAGGAAGGAGGGAGAGGAGAAGGAGGAGAGTGATAAAATGAGTCCTAAAGAGGCATAGGAAGGAGGGAGAGAGAAGGAGGAGGAGAGTGATATATGAGTCCTGAAAGGCATAGGAAGGAGGGGAGGAAGGAGGAGTGATATATGAGTCCTGAGAGGCATAGGAAGGAGGGAGAGGAGAGGAGGGAGAGTGATATATGAGTCCTGTAGAGGCATAGGAAGGAGGGAGAGGAGGAGGAGAGTGATATATGAGTCCTGAGAGGCATAGAAGGAGGGAGAGGAGGAGGAGAGTGATATATGAGTCCTGAGAGGCATAGAAGGAGGGAGAGGAGAAGGAGGGAGAGTGTATATATGAGTCTGAGAGGCATAGGAAGGAGGGGAGGAGAAGAGGAGGAAGAGAGTGATATATGATCCTGAAGGCATAGGAAAGGAGGGAGAGGAGGAGAGGAGGAGGTGATATGAGTCCTGAGAAGGCATAGGAAGGAGGGAGAGGAGAGGAAGGAGGTGATATATGAGTCCTGAGAGGCATAAAGGAGGAGAGGAGGAGAGTGAATAGATCTAGAGGATAGAAGGAGGAGGAGAGAGAGAGTGATATAGTCTGAGAGGCATAGAGGAGGAGAGGAGAGGAAGGAGAGGGATTAGAGTCCTGAGAGGCATGAAGGAGGAGAGGAGGAGAGTGATATATGAGTCCTGAGAGGCATAGGAAGGAGGGGAGGAGGAGGGAGAGTGATATATGATCCTGAGGCATAGGAAGGAGGGAGAGGAGGAGAGGAGGAGAGTGATATGAGTCTGAGAGGCATAGAAGGAGGGAGGGAGGAGAGTTATATGAGTCCTGGGTAAGAGGCGAGGAGGAGGAGTGATTAGTCTGAGGCATAGGAAGGAGGGCGAGGAGGAGGAGGAGAGTGATATATGAGTCCTGAGAGGCATAGGAAGGAGGGAGAGGAGGAGGAGAGTGATATATGAGTCCTTAGAGGCATAGGAAGGAGGGAGAGGAGGGAGGAGAGTGATATATGAGTCCTGAGAGGCATAGGAAGGAGGGAGAGGAGGAGGAGAGTGATATATGAGTCCTGAGAGGCATAGGAAGGAGGGAGAGGAGGGGGAGGAGGAGAGTGATTTATGAGTCCTGAGAGGCATAGGAAGGAGGGCGAGGAGGAGGAGAGTGATATATGAGTCCTGAGAGGCATAGGAAGGAGGGAGAGGAGGGGGAGAGTGATATATGAGTCCTGAGAGGCATAGGAAGGAGGGGGAGGAGAGTGATATATGAGTCCTGAGAGGCATAGGAAGGAGGGAGAGGAGGAGGAGAGTGATATATGAGTCCTGAGAGGCATAGGAAGGAGGGAGAGGAGGGGGAGAGTGATATATGAGTCCTGAGAGGCATAGGAAGGAGGGAGAGGAGGAGAGTGATATATGAGTCCTGAGAGGCATAGGAAGGAGGGAGAGGAGGAGGAGAGTGATATGAGTCCTGAGAGGCATAGGAAGGAGGGAGAGGAGGAGGAGAGTGATATGAATCCTGAGAGGCATAGGAAGGAGGGAGAGGAGGGGGAGAGTGATATATGAATCCTGAGAGGCATAGGAAGGAGGGAGAGGAGGAGCAGAGTGATATATGAGTCCTGAGAGGCATAGGAAGGAGGGAGAGGAGAAGGAGGAGGAGAGTGATATACAGTGGGGAAAAAAAGTATTTAGTCAGCCACCAATTGTGCAAGTTCTCCCACTTAAAAAGATGAGAGAGGCCTGTAATTTTCATCATAGGTACACGTCAACTATGACAGACAAAATGAGAAAGAAAAATCCAGAAGATCACATTGTAGGATTTTTAATGAATTTATTTGCAAATTATGGTGGAAAATAAGTATTTGGTCAATAACAAAAGTTTCTCAATACTTTGTTATATACCCTTTGTTGGCAATGACACAGGTCAAACGTTTTCTGTAAGTCTTCACAAGGTTTTCACACACTTTTGCTGGTATTTTGGCCCATTCCTCCATGCAGATCTCCTCTAGAGCAGTGATGTTTTGGGGCTGTCGCTGGGCAACACGGACTTTCAACTCCCTCCAAAGATTTTCTATGAGGTTGAGATCTGGAGACTGGCTAGTCCACTCCAGGACTTTGAAATGCTTCTTACGAAGCCACTCCTTCGTTGCCCGGGCGGTGTGTTTGGGATCATTGTCATGCTGAAAGACCCAGCCAAGTTTCATCTTCAATGCCCTTGCTGACGGAAGGAGGTTTTCACTCAAAATCTCACGATACATGGCCCCATTCATTCTTTCCTTTACACGGATCAGTCGTCCTGGTCCCTTTGCAGAAAAACAGCCTCAAAGCATGATGTTTCCACCCCCATGCTTCACAGTAGGTATGGTGTTCTTTGGATGCAACTCAGCATTATTTGTCCTCCAAACACGACGAGTTGAGTTTTTACCAAAAAGTTGTATTTTGGTTTCATCTGACCATATGACATTCTCCCAATCCTCTTCTGGATCATCCAAATGCAATCTAGCAAACTTCAGACGGGCCTGGACATGTACTGGCTTAAGCAGGGGGACACGTCTGGCACTGCAGGATTTGAGTCCCTGGCGGCGTAGTGTGTTACTGATGATAGGCTTTGTTACTTTGGTCCCAGCTCTCTGCAGGTCATTCACTAGGTCCCCCCGTGTGGTTCTGGGATTTTTGCTCACCGTTCTTGTGATCATTTTGACCCCACGGGGTGAGATCTTGCGTGGATCCCCAGATCGAGGGAGATTATCAGTGGTCTTGTATGTCTTCCATTTCCTAATAATTGCTCCCACAGTTGATTTATTCAAACCAAGCTGCTTACCCATTGCAGATTCAGTCTTCCCAGCCTGGTGCAGGTCTACAATTTTGTTTCTGGTGTCCTTTGACAGCTCTTTGGTCTTGGCCATAGTGGAGTTTGGAGTGTGACTGTTTGAGGTTGTGGATAGGTGTCTTTTATACTGATAACAAGTTCAAACAGGTGCCATTAATACAGGTAACGAGTGGAGGACAGAGGAGCCTCTTAAAGAAGAAGTTACAGGTCTGTGAGAGCCAGAAATCTTGCTTGTTCGTAGGTGACCAAATACTTATTTTCCACCATAATTTGCAAATAAATTCATAAAAAATCCTACAATGTGATTTTCTGGAGAAAAAAAATCTCAATTTGTCTGTCATAGTTGATGTGTACCTATGATGAAAATTACAGGCCTCTCATCTTTTTAAGTGGGAGAACTTGCACAATTGGTGGCTGACTAAATACTTTTTTTCCCCACTGTATGAGTCCTGAGAGGCATAGGAAGGAGGGAGAGGAGGAGGAGAGATATGAGTCCTGAGAGGCATAGGAAGGAGGGAGAGGAGGGGGAGAGTGATATGAGTCCTGAGAGGCATAGGAAGGAGGGAGAGGAGAATGAATTGACTGGGGGAGACGGAGGGAGACAGAAAGGTAGAGAGGTGTTTGTTACCTGAGGTTTTCAACCTCCTGTTTCCTCAGAGGTGAAGATGGTGCTGCAGAAAGGAACTTGTCCCCTTCTTGACCCTTCCCACTGTCAAACCAACAAAGAGAAAATCAGGGAAATGGAAAGCAACATACTCCCTGCAAAGTTATTCTTCTATCTGAGGCCATGGAGAGCTGAATCCTTGTTAATAGTCTATCCCTTAATGACCACAGTGCTCTACAAAAATAGATTTGGAAGATTTGACAAGACATGTTTCAGCATCAAGCCAATCTCAAGGTGAGATGAGACACTGACCTGCAGGCGTCGCTGTTCTCTGAGCCACTCTCTGTGCTGCCTGACTGGCTGGGTGTCTTGGAGCCGTTCTCTGCCTTGGTCTCCTGCTGCTGGTGATCAGGGAGGAGGACCAGACCGTTCCTCAGACAGATAGCTGCAAACTCCATACTGGCCACCGGAATGGCTGCAGACTGCCCATCACTACACACCCACATTTAGGGGAGGAAAGAGTCAACCATGAAGTTAATGGAGATATAGTAATGATCAACATCTTGAGTTGTCTCAGAGTACCCTCTAATTTCAGCGAGCTAGCCCCTATTGATTTCAGCAAACACTACCATGTAAACAAATGTTTTAACGCCATCTCCTGGACAGTACTGGTTAGGTCCATGGGGAAAAGGGAAAACGGACCTGTAGATTGTGTTCTGGGAGGACTGCGACGCCAGGATGATCTTGCGATGGTAGCCCTGCCCAACGATGGCCTGAACGATACCCTTTTTACTGGGAAGACCCTTGTTCTCCTGTTCTAAGCTCTGAAAAATAACAAAATGCCAAATTTGAATGTTGGTACGTTATATTTCACTGTAAGAAAACGTGTGTATGTGTGAGCGTGAGTTTGTGTGTGTTTTATCACAACTCACGCCCTTGTTGGCAGCGATGCAGCACTCAGCCAGCCGTAACCAGAGGCGAGGGTTAGAGTGGTACACCTGCACAGCCTCCATCAGACACTCGAAGGCCGCCAGGGGCCGGCCGATGTGCAGCAGCTGGATCCCACAGTTATACAGCAGCTCATAACGCTTGTTGGCTAGCAGCGCGCACATGGGGATGCCCGAGAACTGCTTAGCTGGAAGGACAGAGAGACAACAGAGCTAGTCAGTGTACAACAGAGCTAGTCAGTGAACAACAGAGCTAGTCAGTGTACAACAGAGCTAGTCAGTGAACAACAGAGCTAGTCAGTGTACAACAGAGCTAGTCAGTGTACAACAGAGCTAGTCAGTGAACAACAGAGCTAGTCAGTGTACAACAGAGCTAGTCAGTGAACAACAGAGCTAGTCAGTGTACAACAGAGCTAGTCAGTGTACAACAGAGCTAGTCAGTGTACAACAGAGCTAGTCAGTGTACAACAGAGCTAGTCAGTGTACAATTACGAGAGAAACATGTAAGACCAGTTTCCAGGACACAGATTAAACTAGTCCTGCACTAAAATACACTTTTGATGGAGAATTTGCATTGAACATACTTTTAAGTCCAAGACTAGGCTTAATCTGTGTTCGGGAAACTGTCCTGTTGCGATCAATAGCATTAAACCCAGTTTCTATTGACTCACATTGCCCGTTACCCGTTGCCCCACCGTCACCCAGCTGTGCACACGTGTGGTCGTTCTCCTGCAGGGCCTTTTTGAAGTAGAAGATACCTAGGTTGTGTTTCCCCATGGCAAAGTGTATGCAACCCAGATTGTTCCAGAACATACAGCGCACACATTCACCTGATGGAAGAAACAAACAAGTCAGAACGTTTAGTGGAAGTTAACTTTCATATATGTAATGCTCAATGGTGCTCTGTCACTGACAGGACAGTCTTTCTGATACCCTTTCCATACTATATAGCTGACCCGATCCATACAGTCCTGGCTCGGATATATACTTTGACATTGTCCTTTCCAGCATGGTCCAACAACTATGGTGGAAGTGTAACCAGGTAAGCACAGCTCAGTACAGGTCAGTTCTAAGTTGTGTAAAAGGGGTCTAAACATACCTGTTTTGATGGCCCCTGGGTGCTCTGCGATGTTGGAGCTGTTTAAGAGCTTCACTGCTTTGCGGTAGTTTCCTCTCAGGTACTCAAAGTTACTCTTGAGGAAGAGTGAGGGCGCAGACTAGTGGGAGATGAAGGAAACACAGGTTGGAATGGAAACATTGACATTCTAGTCATTTAGCAGATGCTCTCATCCAAAACAACTTACAATCAGTGCATTCAACTGAACCAGGGAAAGGTAGGAAGGGGCTGTTTGGGAGAGAGCAGGTTTAGTAAGGCAGTTCAATAGCCTGGTTTCCAGATCGTGTTGTGCCGTCTTGACAACTTCTATGGTCATTGTCAAGCCGTTGACCATAGGAGTTGGCAAGACAGCACAAACAGACCTGGAACCAGGCTAGTTTAGTAATCGATTTAGCAACGTAAACATCATGACTCACATTCCCTGCTGTGTTCATCACAGACTTGATCTCCCTTTTGCACGCCTTTGATGACTTCATCTGAATGTACGCTCGCACTTTGTACTGTGGACGAGAAGAACGACAAAAGTGTGAAACAAAAGCAGCAATACAAAAGTTGCTTTCCTGTCTTCATTTCCTCCACCTCAGGAAAAGGATTGGTGTTAAATGTACCTGGTGCATTTTGGATTTTGCCGCTTCGATCATGCCGATGAACTCTGCCTTCTGGTTCCGACCATCTTTGTTTGTGCTGTTGGCACTCTGCAATTTCAAGACAGACACAGACATTAGAAAATGACCACATTGCATTCAGAAAATATAAAATGTCTTCTCATCTCATTATAATTGAAATGTAAAACCATTAGTAAAATAGCCTGCACTCAGATGTAACTAGTGTAACTGCATAACCTCAGTAAGATGTTTATTTTGGCAGACCTAGTGTAAAAATGCCGTGGCCATCCAGAGTAGGAGTGTGTTGTATTTGGTTCTAAAGGCACCTTCACACTGACCCAACGCTCCAACATTTGCCAACAACCGCCAAGTCACATCTATCCAATTCTGTGTTTGTTGGTCAATGTTGTGTCAGTGTGTAAGCGCCTGAAGTGTATTTTAGTAACCTGTCCTCCAGTAATCTCCCTGAGATTATCCTGAATGAGGTCTGCTGCCTCCACTACCGGGTCCCTGTGAATGTAGAACTTGCACTGTGCCTGAAATATTACCTGGACATGACAGACACCCTTAATGTAAGTACACACGCAGCGGCACATCTTTGCACAAGAACCTTAATATCTCACAACATTACAGGTGCCACTAATAATAATAAGAACATATGGACTTAGGCAGAACAGTCATTTCTCTAAGAGGTGGAAAATAACATTCAACATACATGAGCACAGTAACATAAACATCATGGGTCAAAGTCACAAACGTGACCGGACACATACCTCCCCTTTGCCGTTCTTGTTGTTTCCCTGTACAGACAGTTTCTCCAGCACAGCAAGGAGATGGAGGGCCTTCTCTGGCTGGTACGTTAGCAGGTACAGATCCACCAGCAAGAAGCAGACCGCCAGAGCAAACTTCTCTTCTAGGACAAATAACACCATCAAGCCATGCTATACTGATGGGATGCACAGGCCGATTCATCAGGAACATTACCAGTTGCTGTGACTAAGCGTGTGCGTGTGACTGTGTGTGTACTGTGTAATCATGCACTATATTTCAGTGTTTGTGTTCTCTGACATATGAATTTCCATATAAATCACCAAAACCTACCAAATGGCTCCAGAAACTGGTACAGCTTCTCTCCAATAGCGATAGCTTCGGAGTACTGTCTCATGTGGTAGTGAATGATAGCTTGATTGTAGTAGAGCAGACTGTTCTCTACGTCATCCAAACCATCAATGTCCTCCATTGAAGTGTGCACCTTGATAGACAAAAATGCATGAATGGTTAGACAAAAATGCATGAATGGTTAAGGATCAGCCAACTTAATGGTTGAACTATTCTGTGCATCTGTGAATATATTGATCAAGAATCAAGACATTTAAAACATGAATCAATGATACTACACTATATTAAACATTTATTTGGCATGTCATTGAGAGAACTGGATATAAAAGGTTTTAACGATAGTCACCTGGTTTTTCATTGCAATGAGGGTCTGTTTCAGGGTACATGTGGTGGTTTGGCCACTCTTGTAGAATTCAGCTATTGCTTTATTCAAAGCAATCTTGTAGTCCTCCTTGTTCAACTCTTGCAGCTTCCCAAGGTGTTTCAAAGATTCATCATAGTTTCCGGCCTGTGAGTAAACAAATTAAAATCAACAAATGTAACAAAAAAACTCATGAATAGTAGCATCAACAAATGTAAACAAATATTGTAAATCAGATAGGTTTGACAGACGGAGTTGTTGCCAAGTTGGCCAACTCCCTAGGATTGCACAATTTGCAGAAAACACTGCTGATGGCAAATAAAAGTGATGTTACCGTAAACGCCTCCAACGCATTTGCAGCTATTTCTTTTTCTTGGTCTGAAATCCCAGGGGAGGAAATGTTATCATGCTTGACTTCATTTCGTTTTGGTTGAATAAAAAACAATATACAGCCCATTTAGCTAGCTAATCATGCAAAATGTTTGCTACCAAGCCAAAACATAATGTTAAAACAAGTTAGCTAACGTATGCTAGCTAGGTCCAAATTCAGGTGGGCGTGTGTTGACAGTTAGCATTACACGCTAGTCAAGATTGTTGACATGACAAGTTTGGGAACTAGCTAGCTAGTGCGTAGTTAGCCGAGTCTGCCAACGTTGGTCACACGTGACACAATTAACTACTAACTAGCTAGCCAGCTAACTAGTTGTTTATTGCCATGTTTAGATAGTCAATGTCAATTCATAGCTAGTTAGCTACCAACGCAGCTAGGGCAAGGACACTGGATGGATAGCTTTGTAGCTAGCTAGCATTAACACTGGCGTCAGCTAGTATTAGCCAGCTAGCAATCAACCGATGGTTGGTTAAATGTAAAACCCATGTAAATGCTGGTGGATTAAGACTAGTGTTGGTACTAGCTAATTATCCGTATATAGTTAGTAAGATATAAATAACCGAGTTAGCATGCCACTTTAGTTAAAACATATTAGCTAGCTAGCAAGCTAGTCACTCTCCCACCTGTGTTGTTATCTGCCATTTCGGGGATCTCGTGCTTTAATTGATGGAAATGCCCCAGCCAGAAGGTTTACTAAGATAAATATTGGGACACAACGATTCGTTGACTACGTTAGCTAGCCAAAATGATAAATTTAAGTACTCCGCTCGTTCGTAACTAGAACAAGATATCCGAAATCTGACCGCTCTCAACTGCTTTTTTCAACGTTCCGCCATTGAAATGATGCTGAAGTAAACAAATCTGAAAGAAGCGCAGCTCGTGACGCAGATGCCTGGCAATACCGATAAATAGCACCGTCTACCGGTATGGAGGGGAAATGCAAGTAAAGTGCATCAACTCAAAGCCCTCATCCCATACATCAAATAATGTTGTCACTGTAAAATAAAATTTAATAATCCTGTGTATTCATTTGCATTACCGGGTTATCAGAAGACATTCATGATCTGCTCAACTTACTCAAAAACCAAAGCTAATCAAGCATTTTGCATCCGTTTTCAATAGCTCGTACTCCTAACTTATCTCCACATGGTGGCAGTAAATTATCATTATTGATACATGATGATGGCCTGAAGAATGGTAAGTAAGAAAATAAGAAAAATACAAAATAAGTAGGTCTGATCATTGCTTTGCTTCGCTTCACAGGTTTGACACGTTTCAAATATCTGATGTGAAATTTCGTTTACGAAATGAAGTTTTGTGACAGTTAACATATGTTCTCACTATAAACGGGCTGCACTATACTGTAGTGAAGCTCCAGGGATTACAATATAACTGACGAAGTAAACCAATTGTGTACTGCAGGCTAATAATGAAAATCAATTAAGCATCGTTACAGCATCTCTCTCTCTCCATCTCTCTCTGTCTCATCAAAAAGGAAGATCATAAAAAAAACACTAATGGCTTTTTAATTGTATTTCACTCAGGCAATTCCACACAGTCTGTGGTTATTTGAATCAAGCAACCAGAGTGAGATCGGTTAAAGTAAAAAAGAAATAGAAGATACTGAAAGATGGTTGAAACCCCGGTGGCAGTTCCTGCTCTCAATAGTGAAAACTCGAAGAGGAGAGACTTGCCCACTGAAGATGTTTCACAGTAAGTTTCCCTAATTAGCTGAAGGGATATATTTCAAAGTTTAGCATGTGAACCAAATAATAACTATTTTGATTCAAGCATAAAAATAGTTTGATAAAAAAAAAATCAATACAATAGTTTGAGAGTGAGTGATAACAATATGGAATATTAGTAATATGGAATGCTCCGCTAGAACCACTGTTTAGAATCGTTGAGATCCTAATTCTACAGTCTCAGCACACTGATGGCCATGTTTGTATGTATTACCAGAGGGCAATTCCTGTATTTCTTGATCCTGGAGTATTCTAACCCTGGCTGCAATATTGCTCTGAGGGACTCCTCCTGTTCTCACTATACAACATTTTTTACATTTACATTTTAGTCATTTAGCAGACGCTCTTAACCAGAGCGACTTACAGGAGCAATTAGGGTTAAGTGCCTTGCTCAAGGGCACATTAACGTCATTTAGCAGACGCTCTTAGCCAGAGCGACTCACAAATTGGTGCGTTCACCCTATAGCCAGTGGGATAACCACTTTACAATTTGGGGGGGGGGGGGGGGGGGGGAGCCCCCCCCCCCCCCCCCCCCCCAAATAGCCCCCCTTTACCCGTGAGACAGTGGATAGGGCCAGCAGACTGTGTATGGGGATTGGTCAGTTTCAGATGCAGCTCAGCTCTCTTCCTTAGCAATGTACTATATGGTTAAGCCCACACAAACCCACAGCTTTATGAGTTGTTATAACTGGTTTGACTGGGGGAAGGTGAAAGGGTAAAGGTTCTAATACGTGATATGCTTCCCTCTCAACCCTGAAGAATACTTTTCAATGAAATGTAAAAGTTAACTCAGACTCTCTGTCAGGAATAGATGTCACACAGTATTGGATATATTTGTGAAAAGGTCAATGGAAGATATAACATAACAATATGCTCAAGCTAAGCTACGGACTGGGGCCATTTTTGACTAATATTTGACACATACTGTATAATTTCTCAAAGGCGGTGGCTATATGTTTTCCATCTCAATCCCGAACAACACTTTTCATTAAAATGTCAGCCAATATTGTATAAATTATTGAAAAGGAGAGCAAACAAATGTATGCGTATCAATGGAAAATATAACAGGGCAGTATCTCCTAAAACTGCCGCACTTCACCTGAACTTCTGACTTGAAGGAAATGATGGTGCTGAGACAGAGAGATATACTACTCAGGTTAAGATGGAATTGTGATGGATAGCTCTTCATTGACTGTTATTTTACCTCTGGAGAATGAGAAAGGATGACTATTCTATGTATTTGGGCACAGGGGAAATGTAGACATTCTGACTAAGTGAGTCATTGCTACGCCAATAGCATTTTTAACAAGAAAACAAGGACATTGAAATGAAGATCTCAAAACGTAGAAATGATTATTTAATGCGGTTATGAGATAGAGTGGCTCTGTTGGTCTGGTAATCAATTCCACTGTGATTTGGAGCAGAGGATCCTAGGTAACTGCTTGGGGTGCCCAATCAGACAGTGCCTTAATGATAGCTCCCCAGAGACTATCATCACAACTCTGAGACAAGGCAGTGTGAATGCTACAGCATCATTGAGATGTGGCAAGTTAATGACGACTAGCCTGGTTAAACCAGACTGAACGCTGTCCTCGACATTATTTCACTTGAAACAACACTGAAATCAGCTTGGATGCCAAGCTAAGGACCCTCTAATTATGGAAAAGATGGAGGGTCCCCTAAGGACAGTAACTTACTTTTTGTTTTCATTTAGGAGACTCTCTTATCCATAGCGACTTACAGGAGCAATTAGGGTTAAGTGCCTTACTCAAGGTCACATCAGCAGATTTTTCACTTAGTCGGCTCGGGGATTCGAACCAGCGACCTTTCAGTTACTGGCCCAACGCTCTTAACCGCTAGGCTACCTGCCACCCCATAGCCCATACAATTCAATTCAGGATATCCCCAGTGTAAGAGAGACTAGATAAAGACCCAGGACAGGAGGGTTCAATCATGGATGCTCAGGTGTACTGTACAAGCCTGTGTCAGGTAACATTGTCCTACCCTTGTCACGTCCTTCCTGTGCTTCAGACTTGAACAATGTGTGACTATTAGGATATTAGATCAACGAGAGCAAATAACACATTGACACGTTTCAATAAAGATACTCTGGCCAAGCTTGGCCTGCAAGAAGCGAACGCTTTTTGTCGTAATTTACAATCGAAGCAATTACATGGAATGACTGTAATTTGCAATAGACAAGGAAGTTATTACGGAGAGGAGGTGAAGCTTTTATTGGGCCCAGAGGGCCTTTGGACTGCTCAGACACACATCCTACGCCGGAGAGAATCTGTGCACCACTCTGGCCATTAGGATAAAGTGTTCCATTAAAACACATGTCGGCTTGGAACAAGGGAAAGTGATGTATCTGCTTTGTCCAATCATATCGGTCTGTGCTGCTCCAAGGGCATGATGTGTAGACACACTGACAGTTGCTGTTTGATAGAGGCTGTTTCTTACTGTGTTGACTGTATTGTCATTAGGGTGTCCACATGGTACTTTCCAGGGCTGTCCAACTTTAACAAGGCACACTGTAGTGACCTGCTGAGCCATAAGAGAAAGAAGCACACACCTACAGAGGAATATTCTCAGGGATTCATTGAGTGATAGGCACGGATGGCTCATCATTTACAAGCTCTTCATGTTCTGAATTAGCTTGTGGAGATTTGAGGAGAGGTCATACTGTAGAGATAAGGTGTTGCAAATACACGTGGTCCTAGTTCTTGATAATAAATATTCACCATAGCCCAAGTTGTAAAGGAATACAATTCCTTGAGAGAAAAATATAGTTTTTTGAACATTATTTGATAAAGTTGTTTTTTTATCGGCAATAGGTGGGCCCTGCCACCTTCACACAAGGGGTAGTGTTGAGTACAGAGCTACACTGCAGCTTTGTAATAAAATAATTACCACCAGTCTGTGATTAAATTGGAAAACAACCTGCTAATATATCAAGTGAAGTCACCACTCACCTTTGCTCATGGCAAAGGAAAAAAGGCATTATGGGAAAAAAAGATTGAGGGAGGTTGCTCTACTGCAGGGATCATAAACTAGATTCAGCAACAGGCCGATTTCTTTCTTGAACGGATGGTCAGGGGGCCGGAACATAATTACAAATAATTTGTAGACTGCAAATTGACCTCAATAAGCCCAAACAGATTTCATATTTGAAACATAATAATTTCAAACCTTTATTACATTTGTATATGATCACATATATCTCTCTATTATGCGTGGGAATACTTTGGAACAGATTTCCAAAATTAAAATCACTTGGAGCTGATTTGCTGGTGTTTTTACAGTCTTTTATGTCCAACAATT